GCCGTCCGCGCATTCATGATCCTGCGGGCCCTGTCGTCAAAGTCGGTTTCAGCCGCGGCGTATGCCTGCTCCTGTAGCTTAACGTCCTCTACGAACACCCTGACGGTCTCGATCATGTGAGTCGACATGACGTATGCATACATGTATCCATCCAATTTTACAGGGGCGTTACAGACGCGTAGAGAGCCGTCAGTAGCGCTTGAACATCAGAATCTTGTAAGTAATGCAATTGGCATTGTCTATCGTAGCCAGGACGCGGAATTCGATGATCCCCGACTCATCGAGCTGGAGACCGGCGGGCGGATTCTGCAGCCTATACCTGAGCAACACGCCATGGTTGGTCTGAAAACCAGATGTTGGGTCGTCCGCCCTCAGGCTCTGTGAAAGATCCCACCTGTCAAACCCAACGAATGTAACCAGGACGGAGCCCGCTAGAGGGTCCGACCCCCGCCACTTGCCTCTCCTGATATATGTATCTATGAATGCCGATTTTGGCCAGTCCGGAGCGTTCAAAGTTTATTCACAGGGTTGACCGGGTTTGGGGACGATGGGCGCCGCTGGTGTTGGTTGCATGGGGGAGTGGGACCGTGGGCACGGGTTGCACTGGGGGTGGGGGAGTTGGCTTTACATCTCCATTGTTGCAGCTCCCAAGGACCCGGGTCCTGTAGTCCATGCACCAGTCTTGGGCATTATCTGCAGCAACCAGTGCGTCCACCATGTATGCACCGCATGCGTAGTCGCGATACGAGATCATGAGGGTCATCGGGCCAGTTGCCGAGAGAGGGACGTCCTTCAGCGCCCATGTCTCTGGGCTCCTGTCGACGAACGCCGCCGGCGTCAGATTTGCCTTCCAACGCATAAGTTTGACCTGCAAGACGCCGCTGTCGGCTGAGAGGCCCCTAGTAGATGTCGCCTTGTACTCGGTGATGAACACCTCGTCGCCTGAGAAGGAAGGGTTCTGTCGAATCGCGTCACGACAAATCCTGATCGCTTGCGCACCCGTCATCTTTGCAGTACATGGAGCATACAGCTTGCTAGAAGGACTCTGACCAGCAGGTTCGTCGCCCCCGTCGCCTCTATCACTCACGACACGGTCAGATGAAGCCCGTTCGTCGGTGCCTTTCCTTCTTGAGGCGAAATAGATGACGGCACAGACTGCCACGAGGAGCAGGCACACAGCTCCAGCAACGCATGCAATTATTCGCGGAGTGAATTGCATTGGCCCGAGTATAATGTCGACTTAGAAAATCTACAGCAAGCCAAAATAGAACTTCAAATCCACGGGTTGGGAACCATGAATTCATGGCGGTTCCACTGGAAGAGAACCGCCGTTATAGGCAGCCAGCCCCCTGTCGAGCTCATCAGACCTGCTTCCATAATGGTCACCCGACAGTACGCCAGGGAGAAATTCGCAGGTATTTTCAAGACAGCGGTGGACAACGGCATGGTCCTGAATGCCGAGCGGAGCGTCTTCAATTTCGCAGTTCAAGACTGCACGAAACGGGGTCACATATCCGCATGGGAAGCACCTGAATTCAGGAGCGCATACAAACATAAGTTGAACGGTCTGCTATTCAACTTGCAGAGTTCGGAGAACCCCGAACTTCTCGCCAGCATCCTCGCTAAGGAGATCGAGTGCAAACATCTCGCGTTTCTGTCCCCCGAGGAGCTGGATCCAAAGAAATGGAAAGATATCAATGAAAGAGTGGCGCGGAGGTTTCCCACAAGAGACCCCGTAGAGGTCCCGGAGTCGGCCCTGCTCAAGTGTGGAAAGTGCAAGTCCAAACGGTGTACCTTCTACCTGCTGCAGACTCGAAGTGCGGACGAACCGTGAGTATCCCAACATGAACATATTTTCCTAGAGAGCCCCTGCTGCTGTTTACCTTGATGCTTGTGACCATAAGTTCAAGGGTGATTGCTAACGTATCTCATTTTTGTCGTCTGCAGCATGACATGTTATGTCACGTGCTCGAACTGTGGCAAGCGGTGGAAAATGTAGCGCTTCGGTCTGGAGCGGCGTGATGCACCTTGGCCACGTGTGCGAGCACTTTACGGGCAAAGATGGCCGCCTTGAGTGCCTGTGGCAAACGATGACGGACGTGAAACACAATAGCGGGACTTTGGTAAAGTCCCGTAATGGTGTTGTGCTACTTTACGAGGCACGTGTTGACGAAGAGCCCGGCCATGTTGAAGAAGAGACCGTTCACAAAGAGGGTAGAGAGCCCCGGTCGAACCTGGCGCATGATCACTGACAGGATCATGAAAGTAATCGTAAAAGTGAAGAGCCGGTCGTAGTGGATCACGTAATGAGGATCGTGAAACTGAGCGATATGCGCTATCACCATGTAGATGAGGATTGCTATGAGCGTGTCCGAAGCTGCATGAAAGACGTGTTCGTTTAACCCGCTCCGCATCTCTTTCTTGACCCTTCGTAGCCTCTCCACATCGTCCTCGGCCTTCCAGAGCGCCGGAGTTTCTTCCATTTAGGGAGCCCTGTACCTTACATCAGGAATATAATTTCAGAGTGTATTCGGTCTCTAACGACGCTTAACCCGCATGAATCCACTGTAACAGTGTCTCTTGGTGAACCCGCCCTTTCGGCACCTTCCGCTCTTTGTCAAGTACTTCTTCATGCAGTGCCTCTTGGTCCACCTGAGGCACCTCTTCCCCCTCTTCTTCCTGCCGCCGGTCTTCTTCTTCCTGCTGCCGGACTTCTTCTTCCTGCCGCCGGACTTCTTCTTCCTGCCGCGGGACTTCTTCTTGTTCCTCTTCCATTTCGCCAAGGGAATATCCTGCTTGCTGCCGGACTTCCTCATGCTGCCAGTCTTCTTGCTTTTCCTAAGGGCCTTGAGCGCGGCAAGGTGCTTGTTTGCAGTTGCGAGCCGCTGCTTCATAACCTTTGCCACCGCCTTGATGTCCTTGGATCCCTTGGACTTGAGGACTGCCGTCTTGCTCTTGAGGTTCGCGCGAGCGATCTGGGCCCTCTTGCTCAGTGTGCGCAAGCCCGTCTGTGAGCTCTTCAAGTTCTTCCTCAGGGTCTTCGGGATTCCCTTGCCCCTCAGGCTCCCTGACACTTTCTGCAGCGTCTTGCCCGCCTTCTTGGAGTAGGTCACTGCCTTGCTCGTGGGGGACGCTTTCTTCGTTGCTCTCTTTGCCGGGGCCATCTTAATCTGGTAAGGTATATGTTAGGTCCGAGAAAAAAATATGGACGCGCTCATATGCTTCGCCTTTCTGCAAACTGCAGCAGGGTCTCCTTGGCATCGGGGTTAAGTGAGCTCGCCTCACTTGCTGAGAGCATGATCGAGACTTTTGGGTACAGGCTCATGCGATCCTCGTTGGTCTCACGCAGCCGCCCCTGGACCTGAGCGGTGAGAGCCTTGGATCCGATGAACAGAAAGTTGCCGTGATTCCATGCCCAATCTGGGAGCAGTCGTGCGAGCTCGCCAGGTGCCAGCACGTAGAACACGCCCTTGCCCGCATTGAAGTGCCTCTTAGGGATCGAGGTGACCACAAAAACCACAAATTGCTGCTCCTCTACGTATTGCATGGCGCCGGAGACCAGGACCGCGTTGCTATCCCCGTTGACTGTGAGGAGGAAGCCTGTATCGAAGCCGGGCCCGGTGACCACGTGAGAGGGCTCGTCCGCTGCGGGTGGTGTCCAGCCTGGGCTTGGGCCTGGTGGCGGTGTCAATCCTGGGCCTGGGCCTGGTGGCGGTGTGAAGCCTGGGCCAGGTGGCGGTGGTGGTGGCTTCGGTTTCAACGTGCCTCTCAGGATCTCCAGTGCCTCGTCGCGTGGCGTCAGCACGTAGGTGCAATGACCGGGTTGGTGCTTGATATGAAGGATTGGACGTTCCTGTGTGGCGGCATACTTGTAGAGTCCCTCGCATGGCTGCAGGCCACCCAAGATGGTGCTGTATGGTGATGCTATCGAATAAGCAACCCCCTTCTCCACGATGATTACGAGATCTTCTTTATGTGCGTAGCCCAGAACCTCAGCGTCCGTTCCCCATGCACCATCCTTTTCCATCCGATCTAGGTAGTCCTGCCTATAGCTTTCGAGTTTCTCAGCAGAAATCGCTGCCTCCCTCTCTTTTCCTGTAAGACTCATCAAGAAGACGCCTCGGAAGAAGGTGCTTCCGAAATCTCCCACCATATATTCTAGCAATTCGTCTTCGTGTTCAAAATTTGATGCCGTTCTGAAAACAGTGGGCTGCTGTGCCAGTGCTCTGACGATAACCCTAACTCGCTCACCTTCTGTGAGGGTGATGCACGTGGCCATGTCCTCCTCCTCAGTCGTGTCAAACTCGCCCTCTGTCACTTCCTTCTGAATGATGCGGCTTACGAACTCCATGAAGCTTCTATTCAGCCAATTGTCCAAAAACACGGGAGTATGCCCTGACCGCGGATCGTAGAGCCCCTCCGCAGGTAGGCAGCTTACGATGTGGATCAATATGCTCAGGAGGGACTCTTGCACGGGACGTCTCAGCACATCCTCGACCACCTGCAAAATGTACGCCTAGGGTTTGCTGGAATATCCATTTAGAGGCATGCTGCAGGAATCTGTGCATGTGGTTGAATGTACAGCAGGTGCACACATGCCAAATCACAGCCCAGTCATGATCCTTACCTTTGCAAATCGGTCACCCAGGATGACAGATGGGGGGCGGGTATGCCCTTTAAAGACGGCATAAACCTTGAGAGCATCCTCCACGACTGGCAGACTTGTCTTCAAAACTGTAGCTTCGCCTTGTAAGCCTTCATTGATGGTCCTGGCCACCTGTGAACTGTTGTCTTCATCCAACCATGGCTCCAACCATTGCTCCCAGTCTTTCCCCACGTTTTCTTCAATAAATCCCAGCGCCAGAGCCAGCCCGTCTTTGCTTTTCAGCCAGAGCCCAAGCCAACCATCAGGGTGACGCTGGTAGTACTTGGCGATCTCCACCCATGAGCACCTACAATCCTTCGTAAATAGCGCCATGTGCTTCTTCAAAGTGACAAAAGCGGAGGGACTTGAGGGGGAAATAGAGGCCAAATCAAGTCTCAATTCCGAAATCGATGTCGTCATGCATAAATTTGATGACGTCATCGACACCTCAGCACAAAAAGGAGTCGATATCTGTCAAAAGTAGGGCGGTTCTCAGTGAAAGATGGAGGAATGGCGCCAACTGGTCATGAGAGAGCTGAGAGCTTGCAGTGATAGCTTGAATCTGGTACACTTACGCTCCGTTACCGACGCACTCACGAGCGCCCGCCCGGGCGCCAAATTGAATGTGATATACGACGATTCTGCCAGGATTGTGCAGGACTTCCTCGGTGAGGTGGAGAGGCTGGGGGAGCAGATGGATTGGGACGCTGGCGGCTTGCAGAAAGTACAGGACGCTGGACTTGCCCTGTATCAGAAGCTTGAGGCCCTGGACAGGAGATTGTGGCTCAGTTGCGAGGATGTTGAAGAGACTGATCAGGGGCTGTTGAAAACTCTGGTCCTGGAAAAGAAGCGCATGGGGGAGATGCTGAGAGGGACGCGCGCCTCATATGTTAAACTGCTGGATATCGTCAAGGAGCAACCACCTTATGTAAGCTGCTGGACACTTTTTTTTTTCAAATGCTGCACACCAAGAACCCTAGAACACAATGTGTCTGAGGAATCCACATTGGCGAGTGCTTTTGCTAAAGTCTTTGCATCACTGGTTTTGCAGATCTCCCCTTCAGTGGAAGATGTGGTGCTGGAAATGTCAAAAGAGCAGCCAAGCCAGGTGAGGCGATAGCAGTACTGGTGTCCATCTTACACAGCAAAATCTACATCATATGATATCGGGTTCCCTTTTACCAGGATTGTTTGGAACCCTAAGAAGGTTTTCTGGTTCTCCGCAGGTATCCAAAGTTGGCCCCGGCGTTCCTGAGCAGGAGGAAGTCATGCAGCAGGTGGGTGACTGCCATGAATCGATGGGCTTGTGTGGTTGATGTAGCGAGTGTTGGATTGAGTTGGTGCATTTTCTACTGTCAATGCCAGGAATCCACCAGCTCATTCATGTGCAGGTGAAGCCTGTGAAGAAGAGGGCAACAGGGCCCAAGCGTAAAAACACAGTGCCCGGGGAGGTGTGGGTGGGGTCTGTCAGACTGAGTGTCGGCGGTGACTTGACGATTACACGCACTGTGGCAGCGCATCGGGTGAGTTCGGATACGGGGTCCGACGCAACACTTCTGTCGCATGTTGCACCTTGCACTATGCTTATGGACACGCGCCACCATCATTCACCCTGCTGACCACACACTCTTGCATTGTGCAGATGAAGGTAGATCTGCTCGCTTTGAAGTACTTTCACTGCACCAGATGCTTCAAAGGAGGGAGGCCCTACGAATACTTTGCGGTCGACATCAAGCCTCCAAAATGCCAACATGGCAAGGGCATGTATAGGAAGAAGGTGTTCGTGGTGGTCAAGGCCGGTGCACGTGGCCCATGGAAGCTGACCAAGATCCCGTGGACCTCATGCGAGAGCATTAACTTAGCAGAGGCTTACGTGAAAAAGAACAAAGACTTTGTGATGGACGCATACAAGTCATGACATTGAAGAACGATTGTAAATTGTGACAATTGTAAATATCAGGTTTGGAGCAAGAATGGTTGCTCTCTAATTAAATGTGTGCGCCACCAAACACCGCTAGCCTGGCGCTGAAGAATGCACTAACTACTATGCCGTTGCTACCCATGAGCCTGGTCATATGGTGCAGCATGCTCCTCTTCTTTTCTATGGAGAGCCTCCTAAACTGTGTCCATGTTCGCGGGGCGCCGCTACTGTTCCCGAGCCCTAATGCATCGAGGGGAATGTCGTCGTAGCCCGGAAAGACTATCTCCTTCCATGCGTCGTCGGCAGGCGCCCGCTCCAGAGTGCAATTTAGGACGCTGCGCACATTGTTCAAGGGCAGTTGAAAACATGGGGCAGAAAGAAAGTTCTCTGAGCGAGAGTGAACCTAACAACGACTGTGCTACTGTCTCGAAACACATGGAATTTGTGTCGAGCTTCTGTGAGATGCTTCATGTTCCATGCATTGGATCCTATGTGACTGTGAAGACGCTGTATGAGCGATACATGGCCTTGGGACACGATCCCGGAATCACCCAAGACTTTTTTCTCCACATTTTGAAGAGACTTGGCTTTGAGGACCAACTCGGGACTCGTCGGACGTCCAGCTTAATCCTGATCCTGGATCACACCCTTCGAGATCCTGTTGATTTGCTCCTGATGTGAACTCTTTCTAAGAACGTCCTGTGATCCTAGGCCTCTTTGCCTTCCGAGCCTTCAAGGCGAGAGCTGCCACGCGCCCCACATCTATGGACCCGTCCTCCCTGACCGCAGACGGCAGCTGGCTGATCATTCCCAGGGCCAGTTCAGAGCCGATCAACCTAGAAACAGATACGACCCCGCTCCCGCGACCTCCCTCACCTCCCAAAGACTTGAACGCATCTCCCAGTTTAAGGGCATCTGCCATCCCAGACTGCTGCAGCAGCTTGCTGAATGCCTCCAAGAGGGCCTGCGCTCGGCTCGCGTCCACACCAGGCATTATGCCTCGCATCTCCTCTTCAAACATATCCACATCAAGCCCCTGAGAGCTTTGGATCACTGCCTCCAGGCTGGCTGTATCTATCGTTTCCGAGAGCTTTCTGAGAGCTGACTGAATGTAGGTAGCCTTCACGTTGATGAGGGTAGACCGCATGCTGCTCAGAATGTCTGCATAAGTGGGGGCGGCCAACTTCTCGAGAACGTACTCCCCCACCGCTTTCGAGTCCAAAGTCGACCCTCCAGACGCTTGAGCCCACTCCTTGAGCTGGGGCAGCAACTTCGACACTACGTCGAGAGGCTCTGCGTCAGCTTCCCCCAAGTCCCCGAGGTCCATGTCCACCCCCTCCAGCAGTCCCTCTATGTCCGACTCTGCCGCATATTCGTCTTTCATGCCGCTTATCGAATCACGTGCAATGGACACCAGATTCTCCACCTGCTGCAAGAAAAGGGAGGGCACGACAACTCTCTTGGTGAACACGTCGGACCAAGTCTTGGCCGCAGCCACCGTGCTCGGGTCGGCACCAGATGTCAGCCCCGTTGCATCCCGCAGGGTCTCAAGGTGCCTGCGAGTTGCCTGCTTGGAGGCGTCGGACATCCCCAGCCACAACTTTAGCACCTCTCCCATGTGGCGCTGAAGGCTGGGACTCTCCATCAGAGCGTCTGTATCTCCATTCTGTAGCGCCGCCAGCGCATCGGGGTCTCTCTGGAAGAAGCGGAGCCACTCCGTCCGTGTGCTGCCTGCAAGCATTCTTCAGCTTGTTTCTAAACTTCTTGAGGGGTTGGTACTTTGGGAACGCTTTGGTAAGCTGGTTGACAAAGCTCACAGCGCACTGATTGAATTCTGCCATCTCGATGCCCTACGATTTGTCCTCGAATATTTTCCGAGAGCAGGGGACGCGTCTAGAGACCCTCGCCGGTGGGAGCCTCGGGCATCTCGTGCATCCCGGGCGCGTGGGGCAACTGCTGGAGCATCGGGGGCATCTGCATCATATGCGGGGGAAACATGGGGGGTGCATGGCTGTTTGACAGCAGAAGCATGGCAGACACCGTGACGAGGTAGGCCAGTAAAGCACAGACTGCCACCTTCATGGACCTCTCCAGGTTCTTCGCCTTGCGCTCTGCGGACGATTCACTTACCGCTGACGTGAGGCCCTTGTAGGAATACCAGGCCACCAGGACGCATACCATAAGAGTCACGAGAGCAATGATGTGCACGATATTCAACCAGGGAGTCATATTACGAGGCGGTGTTAGTAACCCCAGATATTTATTCGTCCATTTAGGGCGTGTTCGTGCGTTTGATGGGCTCTGAAAGATGGACAACACGGACGAAGCGCTCATCGGTTACCTATACGCTGCCAAGGCTCCGGACGCCAGCATCCTCAAGATTGGAAAGACCCGAAACGACCCGGGCACCTACGTGGCCAGGCGGTATGCCTACTATCTGGAGATGACCAACCTTCTGAGGGTCTTCAACGTGGACATGGCAGAGAAGGTCGTCCATCATCGCCTCAAGCACATGCGAGCGGACCGAGGGGGTGGCAACGAGGTGTTCCATGACATGGACTGGAGGGAGGTCCAGCAGGAGTTTGAGTTTGCTGCCTGTCTCTGTAGGGACGACGCCCTCTTGAACGACTACTGCGATTCCAATAATATCCAGCAACTGAGTCGGGGCATGTCCCGAATGAACCCCCGCTACGAGAGAGTCGGTTACCTAGACGACTGAAGCTGCCGGAAACGGCCAATTCCGGAAACGAGCTCTTTAAAAGGTCAAATTTTGACGACTTGACTTTCTAAAGACAACATGGCGCCTTCTGCCAAACGCGGCCCTCGCATGCTCAAGTCCTTCTCCATGCTGCCCGATGATGCACAGGTGGAGATCATGAGGAGGGTGCGGAATCCGCGGGACATGAGCAACCTCCTGGTGGCTCTCTGCTATCCTGGAAACATCAAGTCGTTCGTCTCGCAGACGGAATCCTTCGACCTCGCCTTACGTTTCATCAACAAGGCAAGGTGCCCTGAGCAGTCCAGACTGCTTTCAAACGTCTGCATACTATTCTGTCACCCATATGGCCTCGACGATCGGTGTCGGGATATTCTCAACTTCTCTTCGTCCTCCCGAGTCTACTTCAATAGGAAGATGGTGAGCCTCAATAGTAGATACAGCTCGCACGCGGAGGTCCTGAGATATGCATTGGAAACGAGGAGCCTGCATGATGTGAGGACGACGTGGACTCTCAGCGAGGTTGGGAGCGGTCAGCTGGGCTCCTTGTGCGATGTGCACAGGTTCCTGGAGCTGGGGAGGCATTGCGGGGAGTGGAAACACCTGGATAAGTCGATGAACACCCTACAGTCGGACGATTGGTTCAGAGCAGATAAGCTACCGGCATTGCCTCATCCTCTCGCCAGCAGAGGATGCCGTGGCATGACAGGAAGGCGTTCCACACACTCTCATCCAAATCCTCTTCGCCTGCCAGAGCGACTTTCAGAGCTCCCACGGTTTTAGGAAGTTTGCGGTCCGCTACACCGAACACATATCCATGCACACTCTCCCGCAACGAGTCAAAGAACGCCGGTATCTGTTCGAAGTCAGGCATGCGAGGGAAGTTTGCAAGCGGCTGTGTCTTACGCCGAATCTCAAAGGGAGTGTTGTAGCCGGGTCCCACCCACCGCGCCGAGCCTAGTTCCTTGCCCTGTAGCAGCTTGTGGACAACCATCCTGGCGAGTGCATGTGACTTTTTGACCCTATTGTGCAGCTTCCACCTTAAGAGTGGGTGCATCCTTTCCGCCCCGGAAACGCTCCATTTGACAGAAGCAGCTAGGGTTCTAGGGTTCTTTGGTTCGGACTTGAGTCTATGTTCGAGTACATGGTGTAAATTTGTTTTCCGTCCGTCCGTCCGCTCGTCCGTAGGGAATTAAATTTCACTTTTCGGCAACTTCGGTAACGGATTCTTCAAACATTTGACCAGACTAGCGTCCTCCTGGAAGGATTTGTAAAGCTAAAAACGAAGGACAGCTTCTCGGATTCTTGTCGAATCGAATCCATCAAGCAGGTTCTGCCTGCAACGAGCACTCGATTCTGAATTTTTGGCGCGGCCCCCCGACCAGCTGTCCAAAGTCGACTATAATTGCAGGCACTGGTACTTTAGGCACCGCTCGGAGTGGAAGTTCCGTTCGTCCGAGCGGTACGGTACCAGCGCGGTGCAAGGGACCGGAATAGCCGACTTACAAAGACAGCTGGCCTGGGTCAAGGAGAAGACGCGAGTGCGCGCCGCAGGCAAAACTGCTTTTGGCGGAGGTTGAAGCGGCCGCCGGTTGAATACGGCCAAAGTTCGAGAAAGTTTCGAAGCGGGGCCAACGTGGCGCCGGGTGAATACGGCCGCTCTTGGGTCGTAACTTTGAAGCGGGCCAACGTGACGCCGGGTGAATACGGCCGCTCGTGAGGCATTTGTGCTAGAGCGAGCTGCAGCTGGCTTGCTGCGAACGACGCAATTGGCGCCGGGTGAATACGGCTGATTATTAGAAGACAAGCAGTATGTGGTCGACTGCATCGTGGCAGGCGAGTTGGGCTTCTGATGTGCGGTTAAGCAATAACGTGATTGCACCCGCTGGAGGGGATGCTGGTGGATCATGCGAGCCAAGTCCTGGGGAGAGCGGACGCTGGGAAGCGGACATCGGCTGGGCGGGAGCCGACTGGTGAGCGTTTCAGCATAGTAGGGAGAACGCTAGAAGTGTTTGGTCGTCGAGTCAACGTAGAGCGTTTGTTAAAATATCTATAGGGTGGGTTCGGGTGGGAACGAAAAAGAATGGCGCCCGAGCGCCTTGTAAAAAAGCTCCTCCGAGTTCCAACAGGAAAGAAGGAAGGAGCTGTGCGTTTCGTCGAAGATGTGCTTCAATTACATCGAACCTTGACCGTCCGATGAATTCGTCTCGCGATGCGCCAATCAGTGCGCAGTCCACTAGCTGCCAACTTCTGTACAGGATTGTTCCAAGATGGCCCTCTCATCCTGCAAGGGTTCTCTATCTCCTGGTCTCTCTGTCAAGCGGTGCTCCAATGGCAGTCCTAGCATGTTCCAGGGTTCATCCTTCCGTGACCTGGGAAGCAACAGCATTGGGCTCCAAAAGACGGCCTTTCTGGCGCTTACTGGCAGCGCATGGACCCATGCTCCCACCAAATCAGGTCAGTGGTACTTCTTATCAGCATTTGTAGTCACTTTAAGTTCTTCTCTTGGCCTCATGTCACCTTGATGCAGCAACCAGAAAAATACAACACTGTGGAGAATGGTGATTAGGTAGCAGGACCATATTTATGCAGAAACATGACGGAGGATTTTTAGGTTCTAGGGTCCTAATGAACTCTTCCTCTTGTCTGCAGCAAAGGTGCATCTCGAAAGGCGAACTGTAATTGTCAGAGCCATCAGTCTCTCCGAGGAAGGGGAGGAGCTCCTGAGGAGAGTGGGAGAGCTTATTGCTCCCTTGGCCGACAACCAGAAGCAGCAGCAGCGCACACTCGAGGAGCAACAGCGCACACTCGGGGGCCAGCAGCGTCTTCTCGGTGGTCTTGTGGAAGATGGGGCGCGCCAGCAGATTACCAAGATGCTGGGAGAAGACTATCAAAGGCCGCTTCTGGCCAGGTCCCTACAGGATCTGGCTCTGCTGCTGCCCGAAGAAGCTGTGCACAAGAGCAGTCAATCCAAGCAAGTGCTGCTTGGGCCACTGGAGAAGGCAACCCTTGCCAGCACATCTTTGGTTGAGGCAGGTGTACCGGCAAGATTATTGGGTAGTCTACAGGATGGAGCCGGTCAAGTTGGATGGTTCCGAGACGATGGCACCGTCAATGATTCCATGCTAGGAAGGTTTATTGGCACCTGCCCTGACGCTGCGCTGAAACAAACGCTAGGGCGCCTGCGACGGGTTTTGAAGCTAGACAAGAAGGACGATCGCATCCAGGAGCTACTCCAATGCGAGAGCGCTGGCATTCTGTGCCTGGTGGCTGCGGCGTTCCCAGAGGCATACTTGACAGGACGGCCTGGAGTAATGCCCAGCGATGAACTAGAAATAGACTGTCGGGGGCGGATCGACATTGCGCAGAACGGTGACTTTGCTTACATTGATGTTGGAGAAGTCAAGACGATGCTGGACTATGCCACCTCGGTCCCGCAGTTAGGACTGCGTCTCGGGGCACTGAAGTGGTTCGTCTGCAACGCATGTGGTGCAAAAGTAGAGGGAGTCCGGTTAGTGGGACGGTTGTTTGTGTCTAAACATGGGACCAAGGAGGAATTTGCTGACGCCTCTCAGAGAGACAGAGCATCAGTGGAGTGGGGTTTCAGCTTATACTTGCATAGAGTGTAATGCACCGGGTGCCACAAGACAGCGAGAGCCATGATGCAGTGGAGACACGGGACTTTCAAGCTCCTGGAACGAGCTCCCAGTCGCGGCGTGCGGGTGATGATTGTGCCGGAGGCGTACACGAGCAAGACCTGCGGAGCCTGCGGGTGGCTGCACCACAGTTTGGGAGGCGCGAAGGAGTTCAAGTGCAGAAGTTGTGGTGTAGATATAGACAGGGACCATAATGGTGCCCGCAACATATTCCTGAGAGCGATACGATCAGGAATAATCCCCGTATGAACCTGGTGCGCCGGGGGATGGGTCAGAGAGATAGCTCCTAGTCTCAGAAAGATTGAGGGACTTGGCACCAGGCTAGAAGGAGAAATAGTACGGTGCACAGAGATTTGAGTAACATTGCTCATATTTCAACTATCGGCTATGATGTGGCATTCGTCAGCAAACCAAACACGACCGTCAATATACCACATAGCGGCCCAACATATGTCTTCCAGTCCTTCCACCTGTCAGCATTGAGTTTTGCAAAGCCACAATATACTGCCATGACCAAGCAGACAAGGGTCAGGATTGCAAATACGATATTGAGGTACGCTATCATTGTTAATGCATGGTGGAGATTATATTTCACAAACCGGCACAAGGGTTTTGGGGTTTTAGGTGATGATGATGTTCCTGTGCACTTCAGGCGGATCGGATCGATGGCAGTTGCTCTGCTTCCAAAGCCCGGTATAAGAGAAATATGACATCTTACTGTATGCTTACATAACTTAGGTCAAGATGTCTCGAAGGCAATTTCGTCCAGTGCGCGGCGAACCGAGTCATTGATTGACCACATCCCCTCGTGGTCCCTGCAATTGTCGCAAATCGGCCTCGTAAAATACTGCTTCTGTGCGGGAGCGTCGCATAAGACGCACTTTGTCATACGCAGGTTTTGAAACAAGTTACCAATCTCCTCGAGAGCTGATAGAGAGTGACTTTTGTTAGTGCAGGAAGGTATGGTGATGGTGGGGACGAGCATGCGGATTATGCTGTGCCGGAACATGCTTTTGAGATACTCCGAGAAAAAGTGCAGACCAAATCGTCCGAGGTTGTGACGCATTCATGTTGGTAATGTCCCCAAGTTCGTGAAGCCATGGTCTACGATGTATGACCAAAACGTATGTGCCAAAAAACGTGATGTCTTTTAATGTTGATCCGTGCTCCAAAAGTGAGAGTAATCTGTGATGGAAAGTTGATATCGACCCCTTGGATTGTGAATTTTCGTAACTGTATAATCAAGCTTGTAGAGATGGGTTTCTCTACATTCGGGAGGACCCACCTCGGGGGCAATACGACCATTGCGGGGAATTTCAGCGTTCTGTCCGGCACAGTCTCGTTCCCGTTGGCCTCCATCGAGCGGGTGATGATACGCGGCCTTGCTCCGATTGCCTGGTCAGGCAATGCGGCAGACCTGAGCGGGATTTTGAGCCTCTCTAACCTTCCAATTATTCCTGCATCGCAGATCAGCGGCGTGTCACAGTTGGTGCCTGCCTCTGACGGCGCCGCAAGCGCTACCTCCCTCACAGTAACGGGACAGACGGTCCTGGGAGTCTTTAGCGCGACGACGAGCTCCCTGGGCGTCCTGTCGGCTGGTGCTTCTACTTTGGGAGCTCTGACTGCAGCTGCTACAAATATGAGTACGCTGACGGTCAGTGGAGCTAGTGTCCTTGGAGGATTGGCAGCTGGTGCTGTGAGCGCCACGTCCCTAGCCGTGTCAGGAGCCACGACCCTCGGCAGCCTCTCAATGACCGCTTTGACTGTCTCAGGGCCCACGACTTTGGGCACAGCCGTCGTGACCACGCTGACTGCAACGACAAGCGCCCTGGGCGTCCTGTCGGCTGGTGCTTCTACTTTGGGAGCTCTGACTGCAGCTGCTACAAATATGAGTACGCTGACGGTCAGCGGAGCTAGTGTCCTTGGAGGATTGACAGCCGGTGCCGTGAGCGCCACTTCCCTAGCCGTGTCAGGAGCCACGACCCTCGGCAGCCTCTCGATGACTGCGCTAACTGTGTCTGGCCAAACGACGCTGGGTGACGCGGTCCTGACTTCGCTGCATGCGACGACGAGCTCCCTGGGCGTCCTGGCGGCTGGTGCTTCTACTTTGGGAGCTCTGACTGCAGCTGCTACAAATGTGAGTACTCTGACTGTCAGCGGAGCCAGCGTCCTCGGCGGTTTGGCAGCCGGCTGAGGAGGTGCGGGCTGTCCCCTGGAGGCGCGCGGCCCCTGGTGCAGCAGAGGTTTTAACTAGGATGTTGACGAAGGCAGTTGACGTGTTTGAGGCGCCCTTTGTCACTAGCTAGTTTTCGGACCTGCCGCGCTAAACCTCATTATTTTAGCCATGCAAGTATCTTATCATGTCAGGCCCCCTCCTATTTTGTAAAGATTGACAGACTGACTGATAGACTGATTCTAGGACTGTTATTGAACAGCAGCTGTCAGCGTTGTGACGAGCTTTGAAAGAGATCTCGGTGCCCTCGAAAGGCATTATTGACAGCTTAGGAGGTCCGTGCTCGTGAGTGACTGATTTCAAATAAGGTAAAAAGGCAACAACATAAGCGCTCCTTACGTCGCCGATAACTTAGCTCTGCCCATACAATCAGGATACGAATAGATTTTCCTTGGCTATGAATGGGGGACAATCGGACCGTTGACACTGCCGCCAAAAATAGTACAACAGACAATCCGGTGACTATGGAGTTAAATGTCCCGAGCAATCAAAGCCAGTACCGGGTCCCTTGACGGTACGCCTGACCGTCCAGTGATGCAACCGTTCTGCCTGCATGGATAACGTGTTAGCTAAACCCACTATATTTGAGAGCCCGGTTTAAGATCGTTGTGAGGCCACTTCGATCTTAAACCTATTCAGGTTTTCAGGCAATTTTGGTCTTAAACGTTGTGTCAGACCACTTTGATCTTAAAAGCTGAATTTCTGAGATCAAAAAGGTCTCAGCAAACGATCTTAAACCGGGTATTGATTCATAGTGACCGCACCATAATCAGGAAGGGACGAATGGAATGAAGGGATCCCCGGACTCAGCCTCCTTTTAGCGATACTGGCTAGTATAGCCCATGGTGGATTGCCAGGACCACGCGACAACCTGGTTCATAGCTGAATGATCCGCGAAGTGCCTTCGAATTCGATCTGTTTTCAAACATTCGTATAGTAGTACTAGTTTTCGACTGTTCGGCATATAGCGACCTAAGAACCGAGTTTCCATTCATCTTTGACGGCCAAGCAAATAGACGCCTAGACGAGTTTCTGAACCTACAAGACAGTTACGCTATAGGCCGGTTCATCCATCTTAGCAATCAAAGGAGAGCTAGTTTGATGCAAGGACTCAATAGATAGATTCGTCGACTAAGCCGATCACGGCTCCGAACCGACGTTAATAATGATAAATCAATATTAATACTAGTACTGACGTCCTTGTGTCGAGTGACGGGCGATCGAGTGACCCATGCCATTAATTTGCACTGTGAAGATCCGATTGCGTTCTTTCCCATAAAAGCGCTCGGAAAGGCTGAAGCTCAAAGGCATGCATCAGATCGGGCTGCAAATGCAGGCTTACAGAGAGTGTCCTGACTCCTCCGAGTATTTGTAGGTGACGGCCTCAGAATCTGTTGGGCTAGCACGGAGAAAATGTCACTATTAAGGTTCAAGTCCCGTTGAGAGTCGAGTTCCTTTGAGCAAACAAACGGCTTCAACTCAGCCCCTCGGCCGGTGCGTATAGGATGACGTGGCACTAGATATGTTCTCTTCTTATACAGATTCGACCGTCGAGGTGACAAAAGCTGAAGGCATGGCCCATGCATGTGTGGGCTGCTTCGCCGACTATAATCAGTGTCAAAAGGGAGCACCGAAGTGCAGGCTCGGGAGGTCACATGCAAAATGACACCATTGAGAGCCCTTGCGGCTGTGACGGCAGCATTTGGCCCTGCCGATCAATGCTCGCCTTCAGATCGATATCCGTGAATCTCACGGCTCTAATCGGTAATTTGTATCATGCAATCATGTGAATTGACGGGCGGCAGATATTGGCCGCCAGCTGATGATCGAGTCGGCCGATGTATACGTAAATCTCAGGTCAGTCCTTCTGGCGGCCACTTGTGCAGTGCAATCCATTGTCGGCTGCATATGCGCCCAGCTGAACATGTGCCCAACTTTTGGGGCGCAACCCGTTGTGCGAATGCAGAGGCCGATCATCATATCATTGAAACTATCTGCTTCATTGCCTCTATCAAGTTGCTTTAGAAGCATACAGGTTCAAAAATAGCATTCGTATGTTATGTGAAGCCTTTGGCTGCACTGGCTATACTGCGTTACGAAAAACGACCATTATCCGACCCAGTTGGATCTGAGTGGTTCGCCAGTGATAGGCTCACAAAGGCGGGCCGGTCAAGTAGATGCTCGACCTTGATTGATTCAAGATTTGTACGATAACAATTTTGAATGCGAGAAAGGCGAGTCGCACGGCCCCGCATGCACAATCAGCTAGACTCATTCAAGCTTTGCTAAGAGGCTGGCAGCCGCCGCCGGGGGGCCGCGTCCTGCTCGGGCAGCTTAACCTCGCACCCACGATGTTGCACGGCCAATCTGCGGATTTCGACAATACGCTGCACTCTCGGCCATTTATTTCAACTATCGAACACTCCGTCGAAGAAACATCGTGGATCCGAGGGCAAGGGGCCCGACCTGGTTCCCTCGTACCGCAGCGTGTGTGTCGCAACGTCCGGCATCTTCACGTGGAACTTATTTTGCTGATGATCTGGGCGAGTGACCCGCAAACTGTAGTCGGCTCGACAACCGCTCACTAGTCCTAAGCAGAGCGCTAGCTTGCATTGTACTGATTGTAAGCAGGAATCTACTCAGCTTTCAAAGCGCTCGTCCAGCGTGCCCTCTCCAATCAGCGTAATGACGCCCCCCCTCCCCTTCTCCACTCTTAAAATTAGACGCCTTGCGTACGGCTTGGATTCCTTTGGCGCAAATCGGACAGTTATTATTTGCGTTCGCGGGTGCCCGACGCCCCTCCCCTCTAGTTTCCCCGCCCGGGGCTCTACAACGAATACATCCTGCTCGGACGGTGACGATTCGCCCCCGTCCGATCCACCGTCCACAAGCTGCCACGTGGCGTCCGCCTGGGTCGGGTTGCTGAGCGTGAAGGTGAGCGTGCGCTGCGCCTTGATGTGGACCTTGGAGGGGAAGGCGAGCGTACCGACGGAAGGCAGCAGTTCCGGCCGGATGAAGTCCGCGGAGAGCGGAAAGAGCTGCGAGGAAACGAGACGCGTCTGGGGTTTGGCATCGAAGGAATGGGTTCCGCTTCCGAATTACGCGCTTGCGATTTAATTGAACCCGGCTGGAAGACCGTAGAGTGTTCAAAAGAATGTTGAGCCGCTGAACGATCTGCGACTATTGGAAGCGGCCAACCGGGTTTGGAGCACTCCGTGAGCCTAAACTAGATTGCTTCCAAGTCGTGAAAGAAGCAGCTTAACGATTACTGAAGGCAAAGGAAGTGAATCGAAGAGCGGAAAGTCCTTCAGAGAAATTGCTGCGATCTGATCGGGAATCTGAAGCCCCTTGGAAGTGTCAGCCCCTTAACTCGGCTACTCTGTGCAATATCGTCTCACTCAACGACCCCCGGTCTGGGACTGGGGATCTCAAGAGGATCTTGGAACTTTTACCTGCTCCGTTCCGTTCGAGAACGTCAAAAGTATAGACCCCTGGAAGGCGGAGTCCTCAGCGCTGTCTAGAGCGAATTCCGGTGGGCGGAAGCCCACTCTGATGGTGACGCTCTCCCTCGGCGGAACGTGGGCGGAAGAGACGGATGCCTGCAGGAGCCGCATCGAACATTGGGAATAATGGTCGATACGGTTAATGTTTCGGAAAGATATTTTGAGTAAGAAGCAATACTGCTGTAACTGACACCTGGCAGGTGGTTCTTGATGGTACCAACAGGTCAATAACAAACTTGACTTTGCTCGGATCACGAATTGCGCATACGGCTTCCGTGAGTGCTTAGATTCCCCACACTGCTGCTCAGGCAGCTAATCAAATCTTTCCCCGTTACTTTTCTACGTCGCTTTTTGTGCACTCTTTCCTTCGCTTCCCATAAATCGCATCGAGTGGTCCTTCTTTGAGGACGATATCAGAGCGTTCCGCATTCATCCCGTCTTCGCGGTCCTCTATTTGCTTTACTGCAGGACTAAACTCCAAGACGGCAAAACTCAAAAGGGTATGACAAATCCCCTTCCCCGAGTTTCTTCGTTCGCTCGTCTCTCCGCGGTACTATATTTACCTTATCTTTCTATCGAAAGTGTACGTCTACCCTTGAACAACAGACTCTTGCTCTGATCGAACCTCTGGAGAGTACGTTCTATTCTTATCGTACTTAAGAAAGATAATTTTAAGCTCAGATGATGATAAGGTAACCGCATTGGGACGGGTAGGGTTAGACTGGGGGTCAGGGTGGGTAGGGGTGCGGAGCAGGTACTATTTTACGTTAGATTTGCAACATTAGTCGGAGCTTATAGATATCCTGGCTGATTAATGGTTATCTAAGTCTTATATGGTTTCATTTCTCGCCTGAGAAGACGCCAGCGACGCTTGCACGTCCTCAGCCAAAAAAGGCCCGGTCACATCCACGGTCACCGACACCGCAAACGGCTGCACGTTGCTGAACGTAACCGCCCGGGAAAACGTCTTCGCGCCGGGGGGATCCCCCGCAAAGCACGTGAAGTGCAACTGCTTCCGCCCCGATTCCAACCGCGGGACAGACCGGGAAGCTCTAAGAGTCACGCGCAGGGAGTCAAGAGTGGGCGGAAGCCTAGAGAATTGCGACCATACGCCGGGGGAAGGCTCGGATAGCGTATGGCGGCCGACGAGCAGAGCTTCGACGGTGCCGGGGTGAGGGGGTGAGAAGGTGAGAGTGACCGGGGCGGAGGACCGGGGGGCCAGCTCCTGTAAGGGAACAATGTACGACGGATTGTTGAGCTGAGCTGCAGATGGGCTGATTACGTCTTGTTGGCCTGACTGGGATTCTGCGCTTCGATAAATTGGTGAATGAGAATGTAATCAGAAGGATCGTGATTGCTTTATCGCAAAGCCTCACAAAGGGGGCTTCAATCATGACCCAACGGAAAATTGATGGCCGGCGAAGGAGCTTCCGAAAAGGATGGCGTTTCCGTGGTGAGAGTCAATCAACAGCAGGATGCAGATCCGACTGGACGCAACCAACATTATAAGAGAAATGAAAACTGCACTACTTCGCATGAATTTGTCAGCCTACACACAATCCTGGCAAGTATCCAATTCGCAGCCCTCGACGTCTAACAACAACAAATGAATTGGATCCTTTACCTGAACTTTTGGGTCCACTTTAAAACAGCTCTCCCCCTCTCCCAGTTCTTCCATCCTCTCTTCCAGTCCCACTTTCACCCGCCCCTCCCCATCGACGCGCATCTCGACGCGCGCGGGCGCCAAACCCCCAAACCCTGCGGGCCGCTCGAACGCCCACTCGACGCGCGCGCGCGCGGGCGACGGGTTCGTGACCCAGAAGGTTTGGGGTTCGGGCGAGGGCGCGAACGGCGCATCGGCCCACGCGACGCGCAGCGCGCGGCCCTCGCGGCTTGTGCGCGCGTATCCCTCTAGAAGTTTCCGGTCGCGGTGGAGGAAGAGGGGCGTCCCGGAAACGGCTAGGGTTACCGGGATCTCGGTCGGAGGAAAGTCGCCCACCTGATAATAGATAGATGGCAAAGGATAACTGATATAGAAAGATGTGCAAAGTTGCTTTCAAGAAGGCCAGCGCTTCTTTCCGTTACAGCATCAGCATTAGAATCTCGTTACCCAAAGTAGTCGTAGTGAAACGGACGGTTCTTGAATGTGGGCTGTATGCGGCCCTGACAAAGCGGTCAGAAATTCAGATCGTAAAGCGAAAAGAAGCAACCTGACCTTCGAACTCCCATGGTTGAAAACGTCTGAAAGAAAGCCCATCCTGCACGTGTAAATCTCTGTCCGGTCGAGAAAGCCGTGCAGCCTTCCAGTTTGAATTTTGAGAGCACAACCATCCAGGGCAAATGTTCCAAGTTAGCAGAGACAAAAAAGCCCGCAACGATTCCATCCGGAATAGAAACCGATCCATCCTGACTTTCAGGAACGTAGGTACATTGCCAATGCAAGTGCGCTTTTGACACCAAACTGATTTTGCATGTACCTGGCAGGTCAGCACATCCAAAAAGTGTCCGCAGACGCTCGAGAAGCACGTCACGTCGCACTGCCACGTGGACCAGGGCTCGAGGGTTCCCTCCGGCGACGGCGTAACTGTCAGCACAGCGGGGCGGTCGCCGTCCAAGATCTGCTTCTCGCCCTTCTTCTCCTGACATGTGTCAAACCAAGAGCGACTCAGCATATGACGGACGGCAGTCAAGCAGTTCTTCATGATTGGAATGTAGATTATCATGAAGGACTGCTGTAATTCTTATTCTGATGTACCAGTATGTCGTATGTGCATTACCAAGACTGGACCAGACTTGCAAGCCGTGCATTTGCGCCGTTCTTGCAAGCATCAAGCGAGCGGTCGCCTTGTTTCAAAAGAATCTCTGTACTAATTATGAAAAGTGGGCCGGGCACTCTGCGACGGTCTATCTTTACGACTCCTCTTTATGTGGATTTGAGAAGAGTCGAAGTCACCACACCAAGTTGAACAGAAGCTCAAACAGATCACTGAGATCTGGTCTAAACGAGTGCATAAGGTGAACTCTGGAGTTGACAAAATCCCTCGAGGGACCTCGCAGTCTGGTGCAGCGAACCTCAATGTGCGCGCAGATTGAGTTCAACTGTTGACGCGCGTCCTTACCTGTCGTTTCGTCAGCACAGTCTGCCCCAGTGACGAGCTGAAGTTCCGGGCAGTCTCATGGGCGTTTCCAAGTAGGGCCTTCTGGCCCTTCCTCTTCCCGGTGCTTTGCCCCGGGTCTCCGGACATCGTCACCCTTGATTTTGACACATCCAACGGCCAGGATCCGCTGCCCAGGCTGCTCTGTCCGCTAGCCAATCCGCCGGCGGAATGCACGCTTCCGGCGTTCGAGAAAAGCAGTCCGCTGGAAAGAAGCGTTCCGCTCGAGATGGAAGAACCCATGTGGAGCAGGCGGACGGAAATCGGAGCACGCACCCCGCTGTGGTTCTTCACGACCAGAGTGAGCGTCTTCCGCTCGCCGATCGACAGAGCGGAAGCGAAGTCCAAGCGCGCCGGAACGCTGGCTAGCGGCTCCGACCGACTGGGCCCCGGTTGATCCTCGGTGACTAGAAGCTCCACCTTCTTTTCCGCTAACGAGTGCCCGGAATCCAGAGCAGGCTCTCCGGAGGATTCCGTTCCAGACAGCGGATCTGTGCTGTCCCCGTCACTGACCTCGGCGGTTCCGCGGGGTTCCGCCACGGAGTCCGCTCCGGAGGCTTCCGCTGCGGCCGGTAGTATTGGCTGCGGGCCGGCTCCGTTCTCCAGAGGCGACTCTTGTGTCGGCTCTGGTAGGGGCAACCCCGCCACTCCGCCTTGTGCCGTTCCGCTGTCTTCCGTTCCGCACCTTATACCGCTGTCTTCAGTATGGCGCCCCGTCCCGTCACGACCACATCTGGCTGAAATACCATTCTCGATCACGGGGGTCTTCGCAGAGTCTGTTCCCCCATTGAGCGTCGCCCCCCCGAGCACCTCAAAGGAAAAGCGCAGCCCCTGGACCTTGGCCAGAATCCGCAGCGCCAACGGAACGTCCGCTCCCGGAACGTCGCACGCCAGTATTTTCTCCACGGAGCTCCCCAACTTTCCAGTAGGCAGAGCGGAATCCGCCCCGCCGGCCGGCTCCCGCACCGGGCTGATTCTAACTAGCAGTTCCTGCCGTCCCTTTGCTGGGATCCGCCCAATTTGCGGCACAACCGAGACTTCTAAAGATTCCGAGGGGTCGCCTAACATTTCCGGCGCCCACGCAAAGTCCGCCGGAATTGCGGAAAGGTTCAGCAGGACGAGGTTCCGTTCGAGCGGCATGTTGACGAAGCACGTACCCAAGTCGAGCTCCGAACGGTCGAGCACGACACGTGGCGCGACGACAGTGGCGGTGGCTAGGATGTGCTTCACTTCCGTTCCGCTTCCGTTTAAGCTCATAGCACTTGCGCCAGACTCCGAATCGTCTCCCGAGACCGGTCCGGAGCGGAGCTCCAAAACCATTTGCAGGGGTTGACAATGGGCCGGGCTAAACGAAATGAGGACCCTGGTGGAAGATTCTGCGCCGAGAAACCCGGAAGACGGGCTGATCTCGAGCACGTGGGGAGACACAAACTCGCCAAAGGTAGACTTGACAGAAGTGGCGCGCTCTAGACTTCGGCAGAACGAGGGCGAAGGGCCCCAACTAGATTCCGCTCCTCTCGACATTTCCGGTTCGGTTCCGCCCAACAATGAACCATCCGCTCTATCTCTTACACTCTCTGCCCCTGTTTTTGCTCTGTCTGCAATTGTTGACTCTTCGTCTGAGGGCTCCGATTCCGTATCTCGCGCTGCGGGAACCCCTTCCGCTTCCGTTCCCACAGTCGCATCTGATTCGGTTTCCGGTTCCGTTCTCCCTGCAGCTGACACCTCTAGTTGTCTAATTGATTGCTGCCGTGCGAGTTGCTCTCGACTTGCAGTTCCGGCTTCCAATTGCGCTTCCGCTATCTGCTCAACTGCCCACCTGGCCGGAACGCCGGAATCGTTCCGCACGACCACCTCTATCTGCGCCACGTGTCCCCTCTCCACCAGCCCAAACTCCGCGGCCGCCTGATCGAAGCGCACGGCGGGCGCGACCGCGCGGCCGCGCGCGCGCAACCGAAGCGGCCCCCCAAAGAAGTTGTCGAGCCGACATTCGAAACCGGCGTCGAACGGCCCCAGGTGGCGGGCCGTCACCTCGACTTCGACGAACAGCTCTTCGAAAGGCGGAACCGTCCCTTCTCGCGGCGAAAAAGAAACGGACGGCCGACAGAACGCATCACCGCTTGCGATTGTGACGTCACAACCCGGCCGCGCTCCAGAATTCCTTAAGTCTGGCCCTCTTCTCAGCACCCCGCCCTCTCCAGGGCCAGATTCCGCTCCAGGACCGGATTCCGCCCACGAAAAGCGCGCCGCTGCCGCGCTCTTGTTGCTGAGCGTCACCGTCTGCCTGTACGCCTGACCAATCAACATTTCCCCTGGGAATGCCAAAACCTCTGGTGTCAATTCCACCGCTATGAACGCCCCCACGCCGCCTAACACTAGCTCCGAAGTTGTGACCGGTCCCCCACCATTATCCGCTGAAACGGCCGCGTAAGACGCAGCCGTTCTGTCCTTTCTACTGGCCAACCGCTCAAGCCTGCCGGTTCCGCTCCTGCTCAGCGGATTCCGCCGTGCACTCAGGGAAGAAGATAGTGTGCTATTCTGCTCTTGCCTCTCCCCAAAAGAGCTCAAAGTTGCGCCAAAATTTGCCCCCCCGGCATAATTTACACGCCGAGTGTCGACTTCGAACCGAGCGGTGGCTTGGAGAAGATCGACCCGGTCCGGTGCAAACGTCAGCACAAACTCCGCTCGGGAGTCCGCCCTGATCACAGTTTCAGTCGGCTCAACCGTGAACACTGGGCCGCTCCGTTCCGCTACGGTTTTGCCGGAAGAGCTGCCGCTGCAACGCCTCCCGACCCTTCCTCCTCCCGAAGCACTTTCCGCCCCCTGGCTGGCCCCCCTCACCCCGCTGACGTCTGCATACGTCAGACGCATCTCTTCTAGCTCGTCGTTCACCGCGGCCAGTTCACACCGGACCGGGACATCCAGAGCCGTCCGATTCTCCACGGTGACCGTCCGATGGAGAGGCGCCCCTGGGGGAGTGGCCTCGAACCACACCCCTTGCTGGAGCTCCCCTTCTCCCACTCCTCGGCCATCGATCTCTGCCACGTGTACGTCCAGGATAGCGCCCCGCCCCACCACTTCCAGCGTCTGCGACCGGCAATTGTCGCACGCGAGCTGGAGGGATTCTCGAAACTGGTCCTCACTGTGAGGGTTAAAAGTGACCGTTATCGTGGCTGCCTCCGATTGGCCGAGGCGGAAAGACGCCGGAAAGAGTGTGAACGGGCCCCACTGAGCCGTCAGGGGACCGTCTTCCAGGCCTTTCTGCAAGCCCTCGGGGCCATTCACACCGGGAACTGCTCTTGTAACCGATGCTGAAGCAATCTCGTTCTCGTTGCCTGATCGAGCTGAGGTATCTCCACACGTTGTTTCTGCCCTGCCGTTTTCCGTTCCCCCGTCTGTTTCCGTTCCGTTCTCGTTCCGTCCCACCTCACTTTCCTCCGCCCTGCGCCACTGCTGGACGCCGTCCGCTGTTTCCGTTCCGTCCGGCACGAAGCTCAGCCGGAACGCGCCCGGTCCGCCGGAATTGCGGAACGGAAACTTGAGCACCGACGTGTGGTCAACCAGGCACGCCCCGCAGTCGAGGACCGCGGGCAGCGTCAGTACCGGGGGATCCCTCCGGGCGTAGAGCGCCACGTGGAATGACGTCAGGTCGCTTTGGACGGTGACGTAGTCGGTGACGTCAGCCAGGGTTTTGGGGGCGAAGGAAACGGTGACGGTGCAGTGCATACCGGGGGCGATGAGGCCGGCAGGGGTGGGGAAGTGGGGGAGCGAGACGGCAAAGAGGCCGGAGGACGGGGGGAGAACCCTGAAAAACAGATAATGAACAGTTAGTAAGAATGAATGGTCGGTGGAAAAAAGCGGTCGTCTGTGTGGCTAGGACAGCGACAGAAGATTGACACTTGACGTGGCAGATCTGGCTATGCGGCAGACACTCCAGATTTGACAACACAGATCTGAAGCTCACGATGGTGCTATAAAGGCTGATGGGAAAGTCCTGAACAAGAAGCGGTTGATAGTTTCCCTTAAATTGTTCTTGACGGAAAGCGGGAAACGACTGACGGGGCAGATTTGGCTTCACGACAGGAGGATTTTGAGCATCCGACTAGAAAGATGTAATGCTCTCAAAAAACCCAGAACCACTTGACTTTTGGAAGCGCAAAAACGAGCAACCGTGCAGCGTCCAGAGAACGTGCGAGCAGTGATGAGAAACCGTCAGACATCTACAGTGACCGAGTCGATCCTGTTTCCATGGTTCGTTCGGCGTAAAGCTAATAAAAGCATGAGGAATCTGCGGAATACCAAGGCTTTTCTCCTGTATCTTGAGTAGGTGAAAAGCGACCGTTTGACAGAAGTTCCTTCTTCCGCAACTACCACAATGCACCAGCCATACGCGCTCACCTCACGCGCCGGCTAATGCTGCTGACGTTATGGATCTCGAGCGTCTGCTCGTAGATCTTTCCGGCATCGTAGTCGCTGAATTGTACCGAAGACGGCGCCACAACAAGCTCGGTTCCCGGAAGGCTGGTCGCGTTGGCCTTGCTAGGCACAGGCTTTAGGGTCTGCATCGAAGAAGAGTGTTTTTGAGTTTGGCAGCTTGGATGCGGAATAGGTGTGGCTGAAATAGGTTTGAAGAGGGCGCCACAACAAGCTCGGTTCCCGGAAGACTGCTCGCATTTGCCTTGCTAGGCACAGGCTTCAGGGTCTGCATCGCAGAAAATTGCTCTTTGATGTCGGCGCTTCCAACGCAATTTAGTAGTTGGCTTCAGCTTTTGGCGGACCCATGCGCTTCAGCCAAAACGTACCGTTATTGTTATTGAGCTACCATCTGTTCACCTCAGCAGGCTTGGTCATCTCTTCTCCATTGCCGAAACTGAGAAGCACCACCATTTCTAAGTCCGCGTCAATCGCAGTCCTCAAGACCACTCAGAAGGCTTCAGGGTGGCCGGGTGGCCCCCAAAATACAGAGCGATTGCGCATTCGATTTTAAAAGGAAGTGTGCCTGCGTGTACTCATTTCGGATGAGGGAGGCTGGATATCTAAGAGATTCGAGGAGTGACCGTGTAACCTCGGATCACACCAGCTCATTTCGCCTTCCTTCCCTTTCATGTCAGTTTGCTGTTCAAGGGGCCCCAATGACTCAACGGATAGCAGTATGACTGCCTCTTTGGAACCGAGTGAGACACGTGTTTCAAGTCGCGAGTTTTGGGATCGTGTGCCTTCTCAATCGGAGGCGACTCGGGTCAAAGCTGGGTATTGCTAAACCGCCGATAGCTTGAACTTCGTCGGCGAACTTCCGTCTGTTGGCAATCTTCTACTTTCCAACTCCGGCCAACTCTTTTGGACTCCGGAAGAAACTGTTTAGGAACCTATTCTGAGATCCCTCCAACAAGTGGCCAAACATATTGAGAGCTACAATGTCCATTTTGCCACAGGGGACCTCAAATCAAATCTGTTTGCAACGTTTTCTAATCGGGGAGTACAAACACTTTGAATTGGCACTCGACATCCTATCTCTTGTGCCGAGACCTTACCAGCGTATCCATTCGGTATCGTGGGTTCGGCAGATACTGCATCTTCCCCGTGAGCCCTTCCAGGATGTGCCGCTTTAGTTCCTTTTCCACCCGGGTCCTCCCAAGCTGCTCCGGGCGCGCGTCGCTCAGCTTAGCGGACCTGAGTGTCGGGTCGGTAGAGGACTCCCGACCGCTTAGGAGGCTGTTCTTGCCATTGGCGGTAGCGCCGGCCTTGGGGTCTCGTGTTCTGTGAGGGAGAAGAAACTTAAGGGGAGTGTCCTTACAAGCTCTAGGGTGATTTTCGGCTGCAGCTTGGAGTTCTCACGCTGGACCCACCTTTCCAAAATCCGAGATTGTGATCGAGTCCTGGCGCAAGATATCATTGTAGGGGCTTGCTTGTCAGTTGTGAGTCCTGCAGAATCTCCTTGCGTATTGGCGGACGGCTCTACAATTGTAATGCAAAAGAGCATGCTTCCAAAGCGTCAAAGAGACTCTGTGGTTCAAGCAGGAGGCCTAATGACTCTCAAGTGAATGCAACTCAGAAACGGACCTTCCCTTTGTGTACTGCCCTGATCCTACTTGTTTGAAGCACAGTTCAAGTGATGAGCATGTAATTCTAAGATACTACAATCCCGAGATTTGGAAAAAGGAATAATCCTACAAATGGTATCTTTCCAGTAGATGCCACTTACTCAGAACATCCTCTCTCCTTCTCTACTTTGTCAGTGACAAAGCCAATCGCTTGTTGATAACCTGCCCTTACCACCTTCTTAGATGCATTTTGCAGTCGTCTTGTCAATTTACCACAAAGAATTGCACTGCAACTATATTCCAAGTATCTAACGTTTACGTTTGCCCATCCCGTCAGCTTGAGCTTGTTATCCTTTTTGTACCCACTGTTCCAGGATTACCACCTTCCAATTGGGCTTGTTGACACTTACCTCTTACTGAGACTGGCTCCTAGTGTGGCCGCTCTCCCCAGCGTAATCTTCTGCCGCACGGCTAAGTTGACCGTCGTCTTCAAATATCCCTTTGCATTTACATCCAAATACTCCAAAGTCCTCGGAGGCATCTGCGCTTGCTCCTCCATCTCCTTTTCCCTCTCCAGTATCTCCTTTGGGTCAAGCAAACCATCCTCCGCTAACCTCACCCGGTCAACGACCAGCCGCGAAGGTTGCATCGGCAGACCCGTTTTCCTGTGGTTCGGAGTGAAGACAGCATCGTCGTCTAGCAATTGGGCCTCGTCCGCTTCCTTGGACTGTATAAGCTGCCGCTCAAGATAGCTTATGAGCTCGGTGCCATGCTGCACTGACTCTTGACACTCTAGCTCAATCTTTGCAGATTTCTCGCCGTTGGGCCCACTTCTCTTCTTGAACGAATCACTCTGCCCCATTTGCTCAGCCCCAGCTTTATCCTCTACCGTACTTCCATTCTGGCTGGAAAGCTGGCCCGCTGAATCAGCGGAACCCGCGCTGACGTCAGCATGCCCTGTGCTGACGTCAGCTGCTGTAGTGCTTGGCGCCGGCTCTTGTTTCTGAGCTCCTGGCTTGGTGCCCCCTTTGCTCCCCGGTCGAGAACTAGGCGCGGCCCCTTTTGCAGTCACCTTGGCGGACTTTTGCCTGGTCAGCGGAGGCTGCTCCATGCCCTTTGCCAGCAATACTTGCTCCAATTCTGAAGAGGTCTCCCCAGGATTGGTGTTGATGGGTGGAAGCTGCTCAGAAGAGACTACAGCAGCTTCCTTTTCTTTGTTCTCCGGAAGTGGGGTGCTTGGGTAAAGTGAAGGGAAAGCGCTCTCCAGAAGAGCGGCGATGGCCCCAGGGACTGGCAGCTTTGTGCTGAGCTGAATCAGAGGCAGCTTGGTGGTTTCCAGCTCAAGCAATACAGCTGGGCCACCTTCCGCCATGGTTGCTGCCAGTGATTAGTCGAAAATATTCATCTGCTCAAGCCATGGAAAGAAGCACCCCTAATCCATCTTACCGGTCCCAATCAAGATGCCAGCTAGAGGGGCGTGGGCTGCGCAGTGACGCCGGACACATTCATCATTTTCGGAACACCGTGATGTCGTCTTATCGTCCAGGAATGCAACTAGGGAGCATAAAAATTTGAATTGAACAGTGTCTGAGAAGCAGCTTGGCAGCCCCGATTTAAAACCGGCAGAAGCCCTGCGCTTGATGGCTGCAAATGCTCGGTCAGAATGCTGCAGCGCGCTCATGCACGTTCGACAGTCGACTGTCGCAATGTATCAATGTGAATGAAGGAACTTTTCAGTGGATCAATTGAAACGTCATCGTAGCGGTTGAAATCGAGGCAGGCTGCGTTAGGACCGTCGATATAAGAGTCCGCGCGAGCTGAAACTGTTGCGGGTCTGCCGGCGCGGCGGCGGCCGGCCCGGGCCTCGATCGCCCGCTTTAAGTTTAATTCAAGTTTGTCGAGATGGGACGTATGGGTGGCGGTTCAAGTGGACCGCGTATTAGGAGGACCGCCATCGAGGGTAGAAAAACGCCCAAGCGCCCGGTCGGATCAATCGGACGGCGCAAGGTCGAAAAGTTGCTGTGTGCCGGACACACGCCGGAAGCCAATCATGTATCAACACATATGTCGCGCTCAGAGCCGCTGGCTTCTTGGTAACTTCTTTCGGAGCACCTGACTGTTCGAATGTCCTCATATATATGAGCACATATGCCCCATTTTTGGTCCCCAATCACATCGAATCTGGGGCCCAAACTGCAACAGCAGCCATGTGGTGCACTCCCCTGCTTTCATCTCTTCCTGTAATCCTGTCCATTCAAAAGAGCTCCCAAAGTTGCCCAAACGTACAAGCCCTCTGAGTCTCAGATAGACTACGGCCCTCCAGGTAGGACTCGGCAAGAAGCTCGCAACTTGTCTGAAGTGGAGCCTAAAGTTCCAAGGTTTCCTCAGGATCAAAGCTGAGCCGAAGCCACACTAACGTGGCCCTTGTACGAACCTGCTCTTCAGAATACACCACATTTACTGAACTGCTTACCACTTTGGCTCCCATTGGGACGCCAAGATGGGACCTTTTACCGCCAAGAGGTCCAGCGCTTTCTTAGCTCCTGTCAGGCTGGCGTTGCTTCTGGTGTCTCTGGTTCTGCTGAGCCCTTTTGCAGCGGGGGCGCCTCAGCCGTTTGACAGATTGGGAGCTGGAAGCCGGCGGGAGATCATTGCTGCGAACTCCTTCCTTTCCTCGTAAGTTGCTTGCTTTTATGACGGAAAGAAAAGCGGAGGATCAGGAGGTTGAGCAAAGTTCAGTAGTCAGAGCTTTGGGACTTGAACTAGAATGCTTTTAAATGGAAACAATGTGAACATTGTGAAAGATCAGATCTGTTGCTGATGTATTTCAGTGGTAAAAGACGTCACTGTTTCAGCTGGGCGACGATCTAAATAGTAAGTGCTTTTGATCTTGATGTCAACATGGTTCAACTGCAAAGCTTTGTGCCTGGAAGCCTTTTTCCATTTGACCTTTGCAGTCTGATGTCATACTGTCAGCTGATACCACGTCTTCATTGAACGAGCTCAACGTTGGTATACCTGTCACAACCAATGACTTTTTCCACAACCGTGATTTAAATTTCTACAGCAGCGACCAACTTTTCAGCTCGTCTTGCTGGTGCTCATAGCCAGCTTCAAAACCAAACGTAGTGGTAAGCTCGGATGAATGTGGTCATGACTTTTACACTGTCATGGCTGCAGTACTTTGCTTGAACTAGCTTGAATATGCTTTCAAGCTCTAAGGTTCTTTGTTGCTTGAAGACAGCGCTCAAGCTGCCTCACGCAATGTTAGCGCTAGAATCTCCGATCCCAAAGTTTACCTTGGTGCTGTCCTTCACTGTTTCTCTTTCCTTATACTGGAGCATTGGCAACATTGTTAGGTTCTGATTCCTTTGAAGTTTTGGGTCTATATGATTCCTCCCATTCTCCTAATTCTAAACAGCAAGTGGTGTTGAAAATATGTCTGGTTTCAAGCAGACTGTCCCAGTATGGTTGGCTGGGCCGTAGCTGTTTCGAGTTTGCCAAAGCACCTTCGAATGAAGGCCCCATTGCTGAGCCTCCAAGTTCTGCCTCCATAGCAATGAACCCACTGCCTGAATGGTATTCTGATCTAAATCAAACGATCTATTTTGTGCACTTGAGCAACTGGCTTCTCAAGAGTCTGACTGGCTTTCTTGTTTTTCCCATTTTACCTGATTGCCTCAGCATGTTTAGAGCCCTGACCTCTGTAATAGAAGGGGGGGCGCAAAAACAAGCTTCCCCTCCACCAGCTTGGGAGTTGACAAACGGACCTGATCAGGGGCTCTCCTCCAAAGCTCTACTGTACCTTGACCTATATAACCCAGCCTTACATCATGGTCGGTATTTGTGTTAACCTGCACTTTGTCCTCCTTTTGTCCATATACATAAAGTGCCTTAAGTGTGTCCAGAAAGCCGTTTTTTTGTGATATGGATCTTATCCATCGATTTTGTTGTGCGTTGTCATTGAACTGTGCCAAAAAGAGACTGGATCGCTTCCGAGGCAGTCCTCAGGTGCTGCTTGTATCTTAAGACACAGCGTTTCTGGCTGAGATCATTAGGCCCCCTGCTGCCGCAAGCTTATGGGCCAGCACTAGCCCAGTCACATTCACACCATCTCGTTTCAGGGGGCGGTCACCATGCTGATCTGCAGTTGTCATGCCCCCCTCAGAAATTCTCCCCCAAAACTCGGTTCCAAGACAGGCTTGGTTTCCACATGCAGATTGTACATGGGAGGCGTATTTTCTCAGTATGCACCATCTTCAAAAGGGGGCACCTCTTTGCAATGAAGCATCACAAATACCATTTGCACCTTGTCGTCTTGGAAGGCTTTGTCAGCAACTCATTATTAGATTCCGTAGCCCCCCGTCTCAAATCCCCCGGAATTTGCCAACTCCGCTAGGGCAGTGCCCCGACTTTGCGCGCCTTTTTATATCCCGAAGTGGCATTGGCCGCCTCTTCTATAGATGAAGCGCAGTCACCAAACAAGCCATCCCTTTTTCAGGGGGCTTCTGTCACCCTTTGGTCCCTCGTTTTTGCAACCCCCCAGGCTCTTGCCAACCTTTCCCCCCCTGGCCAACTTTTTCTTCCCCCCCAACAGGAGGGATTGCAGGGGCTATCTTCTGTCCATTACAAGCAGCATTACTTCCGGTTGTGCCCTTGCGCGCCTGGGGGCTTTTTTCACACCGTGTTCCCACGCTTTTCAAAACTCCCCAAAACCAGACTCTTCACTCCCTTCAAACTCAGAAGCATTCCCTCAAGCCTGTCCCAAAACTGTGAGAGCCCCCCTTATGGAAGTCCTTCGCTTCTCAGAAGCCCCGGCGGCCGGCGCCTGTCCAGTACCCTCCGCCTTCGCTTCGTTGTACCATCACCTTTCAGGGGGCTTTCCTCGAAACCGACCCCACCTTTTCAAGAGCCCCCGAAACGAATTTCTTCTCAAAATGATATCCCCTTTGCCTTTGATTGCAGGAATTCCGGCGGACGCCGTCTGTTTCAGACAAGCAGCACATCCTCTGGTTGCACCATCACGTTCCAGGGGGCTTCCGTCACATTCCAGGTCTGCATAGCAGACTCCTCGGGTTTTACTTTCCGGTGGAACGACCAAGGCTCAAATGTCGTTCAGATCTCAGTCTCGGACCAGAGTGGGGGTTGGATCGGCTTTGGGATCGGCGCGCGGATGGTCGGCTCAAGCGCTGCCATCGCTTTTCCAGCCTCTGGTAAGCTATCGGTACGTTTACCTATAGGATATGGCAGATCACCTCACCCGTTTTTGCTTTAGCGCTTTCAGTTTCAGCTTCGGTTAACACTCGTTCTGTCTCGAGGCAGGCCCGTTCCTCTCGAATGCAACACGATACTGATTCAGTTGCAGTCGGGCATCGTGACTGGCAGTCAAGAGCCGCGAAGATTCCTACTCTCTACATTTGCCTTGTCCTCAATGACCTGGTATAGCAAACCACTTCGCTCCTCGGTTTCAAAAAGGCGCTTCTCTCTACTTCGATTCTCAGGATTTCGAGAGAAGGTTTTGCTTTGCCGTTTGCTCCATGCGTCTGCTTACGAAGGGTAACGGGTTACGTCGCCGACGTCAGCTTTGCGTCATCTTACGAGTAAGGCACCTGATCTTTCCCGTGCCCTCCGTTTCCGCAGGCGGCAACTCCGCCGGGGGGGTCTACGCCAACACTTACTACTTGGGGGGGGAGAGAAGTAGCGAGGTTAATCCAGGGGGCAATTTGCAGCTCAGCACTGATGGAGTGGAAGCCGAATACACCGGGGGGGTTATGACCATGCTTTTCACGCTAACCCTCGCAAGCGGCCAGTACCCGACTTCGAGTGTCATCTTTGCGCGGGGGGTTGCGGGCAACCCGAGCACGGGAGCGATCCCCGAGCACACACAGTACTACCAGGGCAGGCTAACGTGGCAGGTGAGTCGTTGGTGAATCGTCAATTCTGCACGTCTCTTTGTAAAGAAGGGCCGTTTGAAGAACATTGGTTCTTTATTCTGTAGTTAGACCTCGTTTTGATCGTCCTGGGATATTGTAAATCGAATTGTGAAGAGGATTCTGGGAGCTTCAGGGCTTTGACGTCCTAGGGGTATAGCGCTTCGCACTGTCTTTTTCGAACCAGAGACGCCTGATGGGAATCGTGTTATGTTTCAAACTCTTTCAAAAGGCTTACTTTAGATGTAAACCGTCGCAGATCCACGAATACAGAAGACTATCTAACGAAAAGGTGTTGCTTATAGGGACTTAACCTTGTCGCAACCATCGCAAACGGATAGAACGCGTCCAGTCAAGCCAAGTTCTACCTGAAATGGGACAACGGCGAACCCTTCCGCTTTAGGAGCTTGACACGTGGCGTGCAACCTCATGAGCAATGTATCTCAAATTCAGAACTTACGAACTTCCAGACTCGACAATCAGACTGCTGGTGTTCTCAAGTTGCAGGATCTTACAACAAGAAAGAAGTTCACAATGTGTTTCTTGTGTCCGTTAATAGGAAACGGTCTCTTAACCTGCAGGTTGCAACCACGGCGCCAACAACGGCCCCAACAACGGTTTCCGGTTCCGGCAACTCTAGCACTTCCTCCACTTCCGCCCCGACAACAAATTCCGGTTCCGGCAGTTCCGGCCCCGGTCTCACCATCGAGAGCGGCCAGACGACAATGACTAAGGTGGGTCTAATGACCTTTAAATCCTTTGTCCGTTTTCGGTTGTAGATTGTGCTTTGTCGTGAATGGACCCGCTGACGTGGCGGCTTCCTAACGTGATCTTGTCGCCAGTGCACTTGACCGGGAACAAGGAGCGCTGCCTTGCCAACTCTTGGTGTCCAATCGGCGATTCGCGGCCCGCTTTCCAGAGGTTGAGCCCAGTTATGAATCTTTCTTGGCTGGATTTTTTTTTTTTTTTGGGGCACGCAAGAGAATCGGTGTGTCTCTCAGCACTTTCCTTCCCCCGGGCACCTTTTTCGCTTAGGGATTGCCCATTGGATTCAGCAGGAACTACAATCCAACACCGTCATGGAAGCCTTTCGTTCCATATTCAGATGCACGCTTTGACCTCACACGGTGTTCTGAAGCACTGATATTCTCATATGCTTCTTTGGCCCCTTGTCATGTCCACCATATGGAGCCAGGACCTCCTTTTTGCCAAATACCCCGTTCGGTCTTTGGTGCAGATGCACTACCTGATCACGGTGCTTGTTCGAAGCATCGGCTTCTTATATGCTTCACTGTTGTTTTATCAGCACCACCAATCCGCCACGATTTTTCATACAAAATCTTTTGCGAACCGGCCACTCCATTCTTCTTCCAGGTGCACGGTATCTTTAGGTAATAATCTGGAACGTATCCTCCCCCGTTATTGCCGCCCGGTTCGTCCACCGATTAGCCTCAATCACACCCTTGAAAACGATCTTGAACCGGGCAATCCGTTTCTCTTTCCAGGTGCACGGTATCATTCAGATGATAGTCTGGAGCGTTATCTTCCCCCTCGGGATCATCGCCGCCCGGTTCTTCCACCACATGGACCCCCTCTGGTGGCACCTCCACCGCGCGATCCAGGGCTTAGGGTTTATCGGCTTCGCGGTCGGCCTCGGGCTGGGGCTCAAGTCGAAGGCGGCGCAGAGCGGCGCGAGCGGCGTCCACACAATACTGGCCATCGTCTTGCTGGTCGCCATCTCGCTTCAGGTTCGTCTCGCTCTAGTTGCTCAGAAACGTTTAAGCGCACGTGCTTTCTCGTGCGATCGAAACGACTCCGTTTTCAGTTTCCTAACCAGGTAGACAGCTGTCGCTCCACCATGTCAGACCTCTGTTGGGTCGGGAGTAGATAGAGTCAAGCAAACACGGGACTCATGGAACCAATACTCTGGAGCCATGAACGTTCAATCTTGAGTGTCGCTCCATCTGGTTGGCCCAAACACGGGACTCAAGGAACCAATGCTCTGGAGCCACCAACGTTCTATCTTGAACGTCGCTCCATCTGGTTGGCCCCCTTTCCGGTCCTTCCGATTTGACGCGAACCGTTCGATCATCCGACTATGCTGCCAGAGACTCTCAGACTTCCACATTGAACTCCTCGGAGTTCGTTCAAGGTCCGCCTTGCGGGTGGTCGGTTCCGATGTCCGTGCTTGTTGACATCGTTCTAAAGGCATTTCCCACCTTCCTTTGGGAAAGATAGCTCCTCGCAGTGTCAGAATCGCCCCGTCAGATCCGGTTCCATTCACCAGTTCTACGTGCTTCCGTTCGCGAAGGTCTTCAAAACATCATCGGCTCAAGCCAAGCCACGTGTCTCCCTGCGCAGATCCTGGCCGTCGTTCTCCGGCCCAAGAAGGACGCCAAGGTCCGCTCCGCCTGGAACCTTTACCACCACTGGCTCGGCCGCTCCGCCATCGTTATCGCAATCGTCAACATCTACATTGGGCTGAACTTATACAACGCCAGCTCGGAAATAACCACAGCATACACCGTGATCTGGGTTGCCGTCGCTCTAGTTTATTTGGCGCTGGAGGCCTATTGGCGGATCCGGGGCCCGTGGAGCAAGGGCTACGCCAGCAAGCAAGCGCTGCCCACTTCCGTTCCATCCGGTGGTTCCGTTTCCGCCGTCAACGGACCGGCGATGCCCCGTGGTCCGGAGCCCAGTGCGCCCGCGATTGTGCGCCCGAGTTATCCGCCAGCTCGGAAGGATGCGGCGTACTAATATTTGTGGTTGTCCATAAGGAAAGGCTTAGCTGAACAAAGATACTATTTAGACTATTGGGCTTGCGATTGGGCTTGCGATTGACGCTGCGCAGAAGTACGAGTTGATATCTATTGAAGGACATGCACTAGAATTAAGTACAACAAACTGCTGAAGCGAAAACTTATCTTTTAACTAACCAGAAAGATATGGTCTCGGTATATAGTGAAAGGCAATCGTTACAAAGCAAGTTATTCTAGTACTATGAAAGCGTGAACGATCAGATTCATGATTCAACTGGCTATTGCTATCACGGACAGTTGATTTATGAATCTGCATGCGAATTGACAAAAAACATATAGCCGTGTTTGAAGGTATTGCCTATCATTGGATCCGGCAGGCTAGTCTGTTATCGTCGATAATATTGAGCGAGCAAACCATAATTGAATCTGTTTGAACATGCAAGTAGTGGCATGGCAATAGAAGCGCGGCCTATAGCCGCCACGGCGGCGCCGCCCGGAGCATTTAGGATACACATGCCGCGCGTCAAAAAGATTAGCATTCGCCGTGACTTAGGATATGCATGAAATCGTCCGGGCAGTATTAAAGACGCAAGCTGACGCTTCGGGCTGGTGGCAATGGGCAGACTAATTAATTTGAACTTACTGTTGGTGCATGGTGGTACACTGATATAGATATAGATAGCATCTACCACTACATTCAAACGGCCGCGTCGATATTGTTAACGCCGGACTCATGCAACCATCTCCTTGCCTTGACACTTGGTAATCCATGGTTCAAAGTGATTGAGTCGTTGGAGTCGGCAGCTCGCGATGCACAAGCTCAAAGGCTCGAAGCTTAGTATGAAGGATCCCGGTTCATGCATATGGTCACGGTCCGTATGGGAACCGTACGGTCGAACTCAAGCGCGGCGGCCGGCCGGGGCTCAGAAGCAATCATATCATTTCCGCGGCACGTATGGCAAGTGCTCAGTTTGAAGCTTGGCTGCAATTATGTTGTCAGTGTATTTCTGTATCATTACTGCCGAGCGAGCCCTGGCATGCAACTCGATCGTCACATGATTGCCCCGTCACTAAGTCCATCCGATACGTAGTATCTGCTAATGCTCAGACTCAAGTTCGTTTGGATGCGCATCTGTCCATTCTATACTCATCAGTTGGAAAACGAGGTGACTCGAGATCTATGGACCGTGCAAAATCAGCCAATCAGTTGGTCTACGAATGATATCTCATGCATATTCGCACTCAGAAAAGCATGACGATTGGATGGCTGAATGAGCAGTGACACGAAAGTCTGCAAATCGTGGGGAGTATAAGTCGCACATGCTTTCCAGTCAGATCGACATCACGGCATGAACCCTTTGTCCAGCCATGTTTGCGCCTCCTACCTTACAGCCCGTGCAGCCCGAGCTGACATTGAGTTGTAGTTTGCTCACTTTCTCGATGGCAGACACCTAATGGCTACCAGATTGATCACCGTCCATACCTTCATTGAACGTATATCGTGTCTCACAATTGTATCGAGAACCTTAATGTCCCGCCTGATCGATCCGGTATCATACACCTCACGACATCGCACCCCTCTCTGTAACAATAGCGGTAAACCAGTGACGGAGTCCACGACTATGGACGGTCGATCACTTGGTTAGTCAGCTTTCTACCTACCCCCCTTGGCCAGAACTGTGTCAAACCTTTTTGTCGGTGGACGTAACCCCAACCGCAACATTGCTCACCTGTAGAGCGAGGCGGTTCAATGCAAAACCTCAGTCGCGTTCAAAAGAGCATTTTGTTCCATCCAAAGGGCATCACGATTGCAGAGGGGAGACAAATGACATTTGAGAAAGCGTATGCCGTCAATTTTGTCGCTCTGCATAAGCTTGCGCAAACAAGCAACCAGGATTGAAGTAGCGCCAAGGACGCAGACCCAAGACCCCATGTCCGTCAATTCTGTCCCTCTGCTCGCATCAACGCATCTGGGCAGAACAGCAATTCTGAACCTCCGCTGAGAAGAACGAGCAGATTGTTAGCGGCCGCTTACCACTTGACCGCTTTCGTCAAGCGTGTCGGGGTTCTCCACAATCACGGTCTGGGTGCGCGGTGGGACCTGCTGGACGATTCAATGCAGCCACGTCAGTGAATCATTCCTTGCCGGCCTTTTCTTATAGATGCATCAAACACGATATGGAAAAGTCGGTATGCCGGATGTCGAGAGACGGCACGACGTATGTCGTTAGAAGTGATTTTTTCGCTTAGCGTCGCTCACACCTACGAACCAGATTGCATGACTTCCCAGAGTACACGGACTTTCAAAGCTAAAGAAAATCCAAATACACTGACGTTCAAAGCAAAAAATAGGAGGACGCGGACGGCTTACTTGTTGTAACGGTATCTGCTGTGGGGGCGGTTGATGAAGGGGCTGGGGAGTCAGGTAAGGAGGCCGCGGGGAAGGAAGTGGCATCCGGTTCATGCCGACCTGTGCACAGCATGTCGCGCAGAATTTGAGACAATCGACTTTCAAGTTCCAAATCTGAGATCCCTGACAACCAATTGAACCCTGGAATTTGACGTAAGGGGGCCGCGGGGAAGGGAGCGGCATCCGTTTCATGCCGACCTAAGCACAGAAGTTGCGCGCATTCCACTAAGAAGACTTTCCGTCTTGGAGACCACAATCCCCTGTGCACCTTAGAACCTGGGGTTTCTTTCGCTATTTTCGTCGCTCCGGTCGTGCCGCCGCAGATTTAAACATTCGTCTCTCCAAGGAAAAGGAAAAACTCTGCCGAGAACGACTGTGGTCGAAAGAAGGCTGCCTCTGTGCCAAGACCGTTCAGTGCACCACGGGCGGAGACCAGCGGAACGAAGCTGCGAAAAGGATGACTCCGTAACCGGTTACACCAACAATGTGTTGCTGAGCCGAGCAGTGTCTCTCGATCACGAAGCGACCATGTCCATCATTCTCTTCTTAAGCAACGGCGAGCAATTCACCATGCCTCCTAAAAGTGGTCGCATGGAAGCAACGATAAGCAATCCGAACCGAGCGGTATCTGGATTTGCTCACCGATGCTTGTGTTACGTACTGGCAGACGGCACATTTTACGGACTGCGCTCCTGCTGAATACATGAGCGTCTGCCCACACCCCGCGCAATTTACGTACCCAATGCGGTTTGCTGCACAGAAAGGCAAGAGGCATTAGTTTCTTAAAATTGCCCGATGGTTTCACAATGTTATGCTTAGGTCTGAAGATGGCTGTCAAAAGGAGCTCCTGATTTTAGCGATCCGTGAGACGAAATTTTGGACAGTACCTTTCACTGGCAGGTGACCCGTGCATTTCGCTTATAGTGCTTTGTCGAGAATTTTCATCACTGCGCAAACTCATGTTTTCCTTCAGATCGCAGCATCGACGGACGGAAAGGCACCTTATATCACAAGCTCAGTTCGCTGCTTGAATTGACCAGAAAGAAACTTGGAACTCTTAGTCTGTTCTGCGTCATTTAGACGGAGGTTTTACGAGCGTACCTTCCATTGCTAGGTTGACAGTGTGACACAACGAGCACTGGACGCTCGACGCCCCCCGGACGTACATGAGCGGCGTCCGACACCCCACACACACTAGCTGCGCCATTTCCGAACCTGCACCCGTCGATTTTTCCGTTGAAGGCTTATTATGTAAGGGTTTGGAGTCTTAAGAGTTGGTTTTATCAGATCTGTTCTGGTCCTTTTCGGTGCAAAGAACTCATCCTGTTTTTCGAGATTGTCTGACACCCCGCACACACTAGCTGCGCCATTCCTCAACCTGCACCCGTCACCTTTTCCGTTTCAAGAGTTTCATTATGCAAGGGTTTTAGGGCTTCCGAAAGTTGGTTTCCATCAATGTGTTCTGGTCCTTTTCGGTGTAGGGATCTTCAGTCTTCTTCCCCCCGGCTCGTTTGACACCCCGCGCATATTAGCTGCCCCAATGCCGAGCCTAGTCGTTCTCTTGTGAGGAGTTTTGATTAAAGGCCTAGGCTTTCAAGTTTCTTCTCAGTCTGCTGAATCTTTGCTCGTCATTTCCAACGCTCAAAACTCGAAATGTGTTTCCTGGACCGTCTTAACACCCCCGCACACCAGTTGCGCCATCTCCGATTCTGCACCCGTTACCTTTTCCGTCTTAAAACTTGAGTAACCGATCTCTCCCCTCGAATCAATCTGCATCCGAACTTGGTCGGCAGCACTCTGTTCTCTTTCTGCTTGTGCATAGAAAGCAAAGAGCTTTATCGAAGGGAGTTGAGGACCCCCCGTACTCCCGTCGAGCATGCCGAGCCCCTTTGCCTTGTGTGCAAGATACGAGAAAGGAATATGATGCTCAAAGAGGGCCTCTACGTGACGCTATCATCTACCAATATCCAAGCACTGAAAAGGCCTTCGGAACAGACAACAAAACTACTGACGTGTATTCAGGGACACTTCACATATAAACACAGAGCTTGCTTGAGTTGGGGTCTTAAGCAGGAAAAAACGGATTTTACTGCTCAGTTTGACGGTGCGCCCTCGAGATTTCTTACTGGTGGAGCGTAAGTGCGGGTTGAATTTTCAGCCAGCGGCACGAACAAGCGTTAGTGCGTGGTTTAGGAGCTCACCCTGGGGCATAACCGACGTCACAAACTGGCACAACGAACAACGAACATTCGACGCCCCCTGGGGGTACACCAACAGAGTTCGGCAGCCACTGCATAAGATTTGCCCCTGCCCCCCTGCAACAAACCATACTGATTGTCAGCAAATCGCACAGAATTCGGAGTTCGAGGCCGATACTTCCGGCTATCTAATGCTTAATCTCCACAACCTGTATGTCACGTACTTGGTCGTTTCGCTTTACCATGCGGACAGTAGCCTCCACCAGTATGCAGAATTTTCAGAACGTTGACCACTTTGAGGGTCCCAGAAACATGTGGTTGGCCTTCTCCCCTTCAGTAGACTGTAAATCCGGCAGTATGCAAACCATTCCGACCGTCAACCCTTTCTGGAGATTCCCGGAAACACGCGATTGCCCGTTTTTCCTGGCCCAATGCCCCCGGTGGCGCTGGCATCACGTTCTGCATATGAGCGATTGTCCTGAAAGAGCTCTGGGGAATCCGGGGAAGAGAGACCTCTTCAATCAGATCTCTGAGTTCTCAAGCGCGTCGTTGGGAAGGTCATTTAATTGCTGCGAGTAAGAATTGTCCAAGCTCTCAAAGCCGTTCCCTGAAACTATCCTCGTCTGCAGTCCTATCCGACCGCCACAATCGTTGTTCTTCGAAAATCCAAACAGTCACTACTCAGTAACCAATACTCAATTATCAAAATTCTTAGCGCATATGTCTTCACGACTTTTCTATCTAAACAACTCTTGTTGGCAAACTGTCACCCACAGGGTTTGGCATCACTGCTTACCAGGCGGACCATAGTGCCCCGAAGGCCCTGGTGGACCCGGCATCATGTGCTGCATATGGGGCGCCGGATAGGGCGCCAGCGGTTGCAACGGCGCAGGCATGGGGTTGGGGCGAGGTGCAATTGGAGGAGGCGCGGAGGCTGGTCTGCACAAGTTCGTGATACAAAATAAGACCCAGGAAAAAATACTCGCCAAGGAATCCGTTGTCAATGGTTGAAAGACGATAGCTAGCCCAAAGTTCTGACGCCTTGGTTCCCGGATAGGGCGCAGGTGACTGCAATGGCGCAGGCATTGAGCAGGACGAGGTGCAACTGGAGGAGGCACGGGGGAAGAGATTGGTGTGCACAAGTTCGTGATACAGATGAGAGTCACGAAAGAGCTTGCAGCGAGGATTTTGGAAAGAAATTTGTGATCAAAGATTGCGGGATAATGAGCGGACTGGTTGATTGGAGCCTTGGTCCGATGTTCGGAAGGGGATTGAGTGGAGGGAAATAGGTCTGAGTCTTGTCTGGAATCTCAAGCAAGCTCTGCCTCCTAAGAGGAAGTCCCGTGTTGAACTTAACGCCGCAGCTTCACATGAGCGGCCCGCCCGCCACACCTCTTGATGTTGATGCCGACAATGAAAGCTTGCCACATGGGTCTACACAAGGATGCCCGTCCGATGACAAAGTCTGTCTGTCCAGGTATTGTTTCCAGACACACCGGAAAACACAACATAAAATTTGCAATGAGTTATCGCATCTGCTCGTCCGCAGTCTTCCTCTGTAAACCGTGTGTGCATTTCATTACGCTTTCACACCCTTGCACAGCAGCAGCAACAACAACCAAGCCAGAGCCGGCAGAAGAACCAGCGGTTAGCGAGGTCTCAGAGACCGGGGAATACATTACAGACCAAGAGCTCTGTGCACCTGCTACCGTGAAAGTGGCGCTGACCGGGAAGAGCGAAAGCGGCTGGAACGCACCTGCTACCAGGGGAGGTGGCGCTGGCGGGTGGAGCCGAACCGGGCGTCACCAAAGCGTCCGAGGAGGCCACACGCTGGTACCCAGCGCTGCTGCTGCTGGCGGCCGAGAGCATTCTGGGGGGGTGATTTGCAGTGCTCGTTCGGGGGGGTGCCTAAAGAAAGTTGAGATCGAACGATTCCTAGCCTTCTGGGAAGGGTGGACTTATTATGCTGTATCACGGGGGTTTTCCAGATGATACAGAAGAATGAAAGAGTATACAGGATACCGGACGGGCCTGGTTGGCAATGCTGGCTCAGGGGAGTGCTTGCAGAAAGTAAAACCTAGTGGTGGGAGCTCCTTGTATTCTCCGGGTTCTAACCAGCTATCCGGACTGCAAAACTTCTTGACACTCTCTTCAGACGACCACTCCACCATGACTAGGTCTAGCTCCAAAATCATGAGCAGAGTCACTGATTCAAAGTAGCAAGTTGTGCAACAGTTCATATATTCAAAACAATGCCTTTCATTGCAAGTGATTATGCAGCAATAAATACCTAAGATGGAAGAGCTTTAACTGAACACAGCATCTGTTGACATAGAATCTCCTGGTTCGGAAGCTGCCAATTGCAGCTTCCGAGGAAATGGAGACAATGGAAAAAGATTTCCAGCTCCTAACAGAGTCTAGAAAGAATCAGGGTGTACAAATCAACAAATGCAGTCCAAGACCAGAAACCTGCTTAAAAGCTCAGCCTTAATGTCAGCATTGCTCTGTAAAAGGACTAAAAGCAGAAATGCGTCTTTGCGTGAGAGTCATTGCCCAGTGACCAACTTCATCTAATGACAAAGATCAAGACCTCTCAACTTGACCGCCGGGCACATCCTCGCACTCCCAATGCGCATTGAGAATGCTAATCCTGCATATAAGCTTACAGGAGTCCCTTTGGTACCCAGGACAGCTAGGCTTTGCTGGACATCAGTCACAAGCAGAAATAAGTGCTGCATACCCTGCAAACTTTGCAGTTGAACCAACGGTGTGTCAAGAATGCTCACTCTCAATCAGAGCAGCATTGCCTTTTATAGTTGGTCATACCAGCACCCTTTAGTTCTCTGTCCAGAATTTGCGCAACTTCACTTTTCAGCCACTTGACTAATGACAAGAAAGGAAGACCGCACAGTGAAAAGCGAAGGGTTTCTGCAGCATGCCTTGTCTCAGCATTCAACTGCAGACTCTGGCAGTTACGGTGTCCTCTGCCAATGACATGCACAGAGATTGAATGCAGGTCACAGTGCCTGGTTCTTCAAACCGGCGTCGGCACCTACCTGCTATCTGCCGCCTCCAGTCACCGTCTCTGCAAGGATTCCATTTCAAATGCCTCCCAATCGTTTCTGGTCTTGCGGTGCTGCTTGCAAAGAGGTTCGCTTTCCGCCTCTTCTCAGATTCTGCTTGGTCGGCTGCCGTCTTTCCGACTCTTCCTTCTCCCAAACAATGTCTTCTGATGTCAACAGAACAGCAGAGAAGACCTTTGCTCGCGGCAAAATGGAGTGCGCTCCATCCTTCCTGGAAAGGTGTCGTGACGTGGCCACAGAATGGTGGGGTTTTCCACCGCACTGATGCAGGAATGCTGCAATTGATTTTCGGTGTAAAAGTTGGTGTGAATGTGTACGATACATAACATCGCATCGACGCAGGGGGTTCGAGCATTTCACGCTGTTTGGGAGGAAGTCGGGGCCCTGTTTGCAAGGGGGATGCACCACAGATGACGGGAGCCCTATTACTTTATGTATCAGAAAAAAACCTTAAACAGGGCCTTAGAGTTGCCAGCCACGATTTTTGACGTAGAGCAACCCCCGTCCCCCTTTCTCCCCCCTATGGGTTTTAGGTTTCAGAAGATATTTGAGGATTAGGGTTCCCATGCAGTCAGAATCGCAGCTACAGCCTCATGCAGGCTCAGGAGTCAGCTAGATACAGCTTTCACTGTATCCTTAGGGGCGGATCTCGTTGATCTAGCCAGGCGCGCTGCGCAAAGGGTCCCTGGCAGCAGGATCTGTAAAGGACAGAGGTCTGTGATCATTTCGTCAGGTGATCCCTGTCTCTTGGGTCATGGTCGTAGCAACTCAAGGTTGAAAGGAAGAAATTGTGCAAGCATCCACAAATCATTTTACAACAGGTCTGAGACGAGCATCTTCTCAGGAAGCTACTGTGTTCTAACAGATCCCCTAGGATCCGCATTTGCATCACAAGGTCTGAAAACCTTTGACACGCCAAGGTAAGGTTCTGCTTTAAGCACTCAAGTTGCAAAGCTGAGATTCAGGCGCTCTTGCTTGACCACCTGCAGAACATTACAATACAAAATACCACCATATGGCTGGTGGCTTGGTACATCAATGATTCTGCGAGGACTTTGGATTCCAAAGCAGGGATTGTTTAGGCACTTTGCAGCTAAAAGTATTCGTCCAGTGTGTTCGTGCGTTGGGGACAACACTTGCCTGGGCACTTCTGATTTGAATGGGAGGCACTGGTAGTTCAAGACAATGCAGCTTGTCAAGGTGTCGCAGTGAAAATTTCCATGAAAATATGAGGTGGAGGATTCCAAACATCATCGTTTGGCTCTTCTGATCCTGCAAGCAAGAGTTTTGTCCAGAATCAAAAAAGCAACTGGCGAGGATTGCGCCCAGATTATATCAGCATGACTGCATGTTCAAAATTTTAGATCAAACTAACAGCTACAACCACAGGCTGGGGTTCGATTCTACATCGATTAAAGACAATTCACACATGTCCAGTCATCAATGCGAAAATCACATAGCCGGCCGGGGTCCGCTTCCATGTCAATGAAATTATCAACAATTCACCGCACTTCTGGGCCATCAAGTCGTCCGTCACGCGCAGATGGGTCGTCCTTGTGAAGACCCCGATGCCGTAAGCAACGAGGACAACAACTTCAGGGCGGAGATGGTGGTTGCCTTCGCTCAAGCCCTTCGGGAAGCGGAAGCAGCCAGAGCGGTTGCCGCGTCGACCAAGTCTCCAACTACAATGGCTGCCGATGCCTACGAGAACCTCTGCTTTGACTTCCCCCTGGTCGACAAAGATGCGCTGGACGCGCTGGGACTCGTCATCAAGTAAGTGCGCCCTAGTTTCTGAGAAGCCGTCTTCATGCATTCTAAAATTTTCTCTCGCTGGTCACCACCAAGGTGCTGTTCTGAAAACAGCGGCCTCTTTGCCTGCCTAGATTCGTACACTTCTGTCACCAAGCTGGCCCTACCGACGAGCTCATCATTGAGAAAGGGCTGTCCACCCGTCAGCTTCTGGTGTCGCCATAGCTTTCTAGTTGTAAGATTCCAAAATTTCCATACACAAGCTAGGGAGGTGGTCAAGGCAATAAGGGAGTCTTTGGTATGTAAGGACTTTTAGCAGAACCTGCATCTGGAGTGTATTGTGCACTGGAGGGGGACAACTTGGATGCAATCGGAGGTCCTGGCCCTGATTCCGCTGACGCATCTTCACTACAGGTCAAATCTGGCTGTGACCGGCCGCATTTCCTTCCCAATCACCCCGCGCTTCGTTGCGGGCCTGAGGTAAGCAGCCGGCCAGCTTGCATGTATCAGTCCCCAAGTTGATCAAACATTTGTCAAGGGGATAGATTCTGTGGCTCAACCAGTCATCTGTCGCTTCGTAGATGGTATAGTCAATCGACCGGCAGCTTGCCCTTCGTGCCATTCCCCTCTGAACTTCCAATCACCAGAATGTCACGATCACCGAGCATAAAGAACGACGATGTCAAACTTCTCAAAAACAGCCTTCTGAGGAGGAATCTGATTAGACTGTTGGCATCGCACATCGAGCAGGTCATGCAGTGTGTGCCATTTGCGGTGGTTATGCCCCTGGTTATGGCCTGACTGTGCCCTGGTTACGGCCCTGGTTATGCCCTGGTTACGGCCCTGGTTATGGCATGGTTAAGATCTAATCTCTTATCCTGCTTCTGCAGCCACTTGGCTCGGCCAGCAGCCCCCTCGCAACTAGGAGAGGATGCCAATACACCCGGCAACGACTCTCAGGGCCAAGCCAAGGGGCCTGTTAGCGACCAGTCCATCGCACTCGCCACCATCCTCTGTAAGTGAGACCTGGGCCTGCTTTGATAAATACGAGCATTTGCTGCGCCAATTACATCGGGTCACTGAAAGGGCGGTGTATCCTTGTTGCTTCTCAAATGTCAAGTTGAGCGCTCACAAGCGACTTATCTGCAATATCCAAGCCACGGTCATGTCCTTGTCTGGCCGATGATTGCTCCCCCTCTACCCAGAGCTCTGCTTTTACTGTTGCTGCTAGCCTCCCTCTTCAAAGTTTTCCGCTGGAATCTGATGACCATGTTTCTTGGAACCCCTCAAACCGACGAGCAGGAAAGTCGCTGTTAGACTCTAGGCTGACATACAGTCACCCCCTCGTGGTCCTAGATTTGGCCACATTATACTCAAACAAGCTGCCTGCGACGGCTGGAGTTAGTTAAGGGGTTTATTTACGTGCTTGGGTTGCGGTTTTCAGTCTTAGTTTCTTTGTGAAAGTTTAACTTCTTGCAACTCTTTCTGCATTTCAGCTCGCTTCTGCAGCTTATGTTGTAGTCGTACCGGCCACTGCTGTCACGGACGATGGCCAGGCCTTGCGTGCCCTCCTCGGGTTGGTCAAGATTAGTACGGCGCGGCTTATGTGAGCGGCGCGGCTACGTCTCTGGGTCAGGAATCTGATTCAATTTGTGGTTCTCGTTTTTTCATAAGCTGACACTAACTTCATTTCTCGCTTTTACAGCCTGTGTACTCGTGGTGTCTCCTTCCCACGCGCTCGCCACTGCTCTTACGGACGACGGCGGAGCCTTGCGCGCATTGCTCGGAACGTACCGCTCGGCCGGCCCCACCGCTGGCGTCCCCCAAGAACTCGCCTCAGAGACTCTGACACAATCGAATGAAGCGGCCATCGATGAGGGTCACGATCAGCCTGACCCGCTGCCCGAGGATGGTGAGCTGCTTTCTCTTCCGGGTGGTTTCGCTTTCAGTTTGAGGCCGCAACCGCTCCCTACTCTTTCCATGGCTTCTCTGTAACTAGGGTGCATATCGGTTCGAAGTAGTGCGATCCTGAGCCAGCTCGCGTCCGCCCTCGTGGGTTTTGAAAGACTACGTTAAGGTTAAGGTTTAAGTCGGCTTGAAAAGCTGGAGTTAACCTGTTAAGATGGCACCTCGACCCCCAGTGTCATTTGGCGGACGCGGGCCGCCCCTGACGTTAAGTTCATGTCGAGTTGCATCAGTTCCACGGGCACAAGATGAATCCTGAATCTTGAATCAAGATGCTCTGCACCCATAGTCACCCTTGCCCGTCTGCCCGGCAGTAACCTATTTCAACCTGGCTATTTCTTGTGCAAAGCCGCACCGTTTGCGGCTGCTCGGCCTGCCAGCCGCAAGCCGGCGACACACGTTGCGTGTTTGCAAAGCTACTTTGCGGGGGCAACTGTATACGAACGGACAATCCTGTTTACTTGTAACACATTACGCTGTGTTTGAGGTCGAATATATCGTACATGGAACCTGATGCCATGATGTTGTTCTTCTTTGGCACTTGACCATTTTACCTTATGTTTGCAGACGACTCGGACTGGGAACCCCTGGAAGAGGGCCTGAGTGGTGCAAAACCCCCTTACCCGGACCCCTTGCTTCCCCCACCGGACGACGGCCGTGCCTTGACGTGGCAGGAGCTGATTGGTCGCCTGGCGGATCTCGCTTCTCACACACGCTACGAGGTAGGGACAAACCGTTGCACTTACTTTATGCCCCTAATCTGTAAAAGCCGGAGAAGGGGTAAAAAAGAAACAGTCAGCCTGCCACATCCGTAGAGACAAATCGTCGCACGGTTTTTATGCCCCTAATATGTAGAACTGGGAGAAGGGGTTTTGAACAAAAACAGTCTGCCTGCCAAAGCCGCTGATGACAGACAGAAGTTCCAGTTGTAGTCAAAGCTCAGCTTCTTTTGTTTGTGAGCTTTGTCTTTGCGGCACGCCTGTACAATCCCTCTCGGCCGGGCGTGCGCTGACAAAGAATTTCTGCCAATGACAAGGCTCTTACTGTAGGATTCGCATCGTGCAACTGAAGACCCGGTTACCTCTGCTCAAAAAAGCATTTTCGCTGGTGTCGACTCTTAAAAGCCCCCTCCTCAAGACCACTCGTCCAGTCAATGTCGGTCTTGTGTCAGGTCACGTTTCTGCCGGCACGTCCCCTTTCAAAGACCCGCATCGGACTCGTCCCGCACTTTCTGGCCTCTGAAGCTGGTCTCAGAAGGAATTCTGATTGCGAGTGCCTTCTTTGCAGGCCCTAAGTTGCAGCGCTGTCTGGACAGACCCCACTCTCCGCGTGGTGCCTTCCACCCTTGACCGGCTTGAAAACAGTCTATCCTTCCCGTCCTTATGCCAAAGCCTTTCCTTTGGCGGAACGCTTTTTTAAAGTGGATTTTTTTTTGTGGGCGAAACCCTCATTTTGGCGGACTTGTTTTCTGCAGGCCCTAAGTTGCAGCGCTGTCTGGACAGACCCCACTCTCCGCCTGGTGCCTTCTACCCTTGACCGGCTTGAAAACAGTCTACCCTTCCCGTCCTTATGTCAAAGCCTTTCCTTTGGCGGAACGCTTTTCTGAAGCGGAATGATTTTCTGGGCGAAGTCCTCATTGTGGCGGACTTGTTTTCTGCAGGCCCTAATTTGCAGCGCTGTCTGGGCAGACCCCACTCTACGCCTGGTGCCTTCCATCCTGGACCTTCTAGCCGGCTTGCAAGCGTGCGGCCGGCACCACGCAGTCGATGTCACCGCGGCAACACGGCCTTACCTTGCGCTTCTCGTTGATAGGTTGGCGGCAGACTCCGCAAACGGGGGCAGGTGAGGAGATTGACATCAGTGTTGGACCGATGATGTAGCTTGTGGACAGATACGTCGCTGCTTCATTAACGGCCGAATCTCGCGCTTCTTGTCGACAGACTGGCGGCAAACGTTGAAAGCTTGGAGCAGGTGAGGATTACCATACAGTGACATAGCTTATGGGCAGATGTGGAATTAAGGGATGTGGCGGCCACTACTCGGCCGCACTTCGCGCTTTGTTTTCGAAGGAAGGCCGCAAATTCGAAGGAAGGCCGCAAATCCTGGAAGCGGAGGCAGGTGAGGAGCACCTTACAGACGTTGCTTATGGAGAGTTGACACCGTCGTGCCCTGAATCCAGACTTCGCTGACTCCCTCCTTCAGACCATTTTTCATTCTTTCTTCTTTTCATCGTCACGAGGCCCCAAGAAGGGCTCAAAACCGCTCTCCGCTAAGAGTACTGAGACACCACTGTTTTCTACCTCGTTGCAGCGACAGCATCGCCACCGTGGTGCCCCGAGTCTTGACCACGCTGACTTCCTCCCAGCCGGGGGATCCCTCCCTGGCCCCCGCCTTTCTGTCGTCTCTAGTTGCTCGCCTTGCGGCCCGCCCAACGGCGCACCCCCTGCTCTGGCCAGCGGTTCAGGAGGCGCTCCCTATGCTGGCAGCGCATGCGCAAACGGTGGGTCGTGCTTGACTGAACTTGGGTCTTGGCCCAATAAACTCGATAACGTGATGACCTTCCGTGATCGCTGTTATGGACAAACAGAATTGGATGTCTCATTCACGGTGGGTCCTTTTCTGGACTCGGCGTTTCGGCCCGATAAATCAGCAGAATGATAACATTCCGTGGTCGTTACTGTGGTCAGGTAGTTTCACTGTTCTGCTGCATCGAGACAAAGAACTGCGATCAAGGACTGAGGTCCTTATGCGTTACTAAACCCGAACTGGACCTGCCGTAGTGCAGAGAGTGATACTCAATTTCAGGACGTTAAGATACGGTTAGCTTGGAGCACTTGGGGAGTGCAGAGGGAATTTGGGCCAGAAGTGTAGCGCGGACATCATTGCGGAATCAGAATGAGAATGCGGAGGCTGGGTCTACGGCCACGACTGGCTGGCCGGGGTAGAGGCGCTCATGATTGTGCTGACGTCACAAGCGGAGACAGCCCCAAGGAACACGTCGAATCTGGGTTCCAAAAATTTCCTCATTTGTGCCCGGCTGCTAAGCGCGTCCGAAGATAGCTTGTACGACCGTTTACTTTGGGCTTACCAGGTACTTGGCACAAAGACGGAGCGTGCTCACGACTGGCTGGCCGAGGTAAAAAGAGCTCATAATCGTTCTATGGAAAGGTAGCCCCAAACAGAAAACTTCAAGTTGGGTTTCATTGGTGCCCCGGCTGATAAGCCCGTTTGAACAAAACTCATCTGACCGCCAAACATGATATCTAATCAGGTACTGGGCACAAAGACGGAGCGCGGTCACGACTGGCTAGCCGAAGTCGAGGCGGTGATGATTGTGCTGACTTTTTACGTGGAGGCAGCTCCCGGGAACGCCGATATCGGCCCGCCGTTACTGCAGGTGAGTGCGATGAGTCGGCACGAAACTTTCGTCTGGAAGCGTCACTTGTCACAGTTGAGGCTATTGTAGTCTTCAGGGATCCAGCGGTTGAGGTGCGCCAGACTTGCGCATGCCATCATATCAAGTACCCCTTCTTCAGCGCACCATCCAGATCGCGGACCGTTGGGACTTCTGTCAAACTGGACAAGAGTTACAACCAAACTGTCTCCCTCTTTGCACTCTCTTGCCACGTGTCAACTTTCGTTTGGTCGGCTTGAAATAAGAATCATCCTATATCGATTTCCACTGCAGAGTGGCCTCTTACGCGACTCCCTCGCGCTCTTCGCCGCCGCCGCTGCCGCCCCCCCCGCCGAGCAACTCCGTCGCTTCCTCCTTTTCGCCTGCGCGGCGTCCCCCGTGGTCGCCCGTTTCGCAGCCGCCGTACCCACCTTCTTGGCGACTACCACGTCGGAAGCGTTTCTAGACGCCCGCGGCCCCGCCAGTCTGCATGCCGCCATTTGGCCGCTCGTGCTGCCACGTGCGGCGACGAGTTTGGCGGGGGCGGAAGATCGCGCTGCGGCGCTTGTGCGCGAGCCGGCGCAGGCGTGGACTGGGGGCGAGGATCCGGGTAAGCCCGTTACGCTTTTCTTTGACCAATTAAATGGTGAGCAGGCAAGAAAGCCGAGGTTTTCAGAAACCCGCTTTAGGTGTTCCCAAAAAGTCAAGCTGGTCCTTGACTATTATTTTGTTTCGTGGGAAGTAGTTTGACGGACGTTCTGTCCTTTTGCTTGGGTTCGCCCGACCTTGAAGCCCCAATTATGCCGAACCATTCCCTAGAAGGTTTTCTTGTGTCTGTCTTGCTCGAAGAAAGGCGTGCCTACGAGTGACTTCTATCTTTGCCGAGTAGCGACTCTCATTTCTCTTGAGTATGGATGGATGCGCCAGATTGGGACGCAACTTGGACTCAAGTTGATAGCCGAGGCGTGCCAGTCAGAGCATTGGAAACTAGTAAACCGAAGCTTGAAAAGTTGACGAAACAATACCTCAGCGAGAGAGAAACGGTGTTGCAATTCTTGCTGCAGATGCAATCATGCTGGCGGGCGCTCTGGGTCGGCTTCACCGCTTCCTGTCACTGCTGCAAAGCGTCGTGCGCGCGGCTCCGGCCAACCGCGCGGTGTGGACAAAAGGCGGCCCCTTAGAGCACGCCTTGAAAGAATGCGCGGCAAGTTTGCGCTCCGCCAAAACTAGCACCGCCCAATCAAGCCCACCGCAATCGGCGGCCTTAAGAGAGTTCTCTGACGAGGCGACTTCGCCGGATGAGGGGACAATTGAAGCGGTTGGAAGCGCGCAGTTGACAGCCTTGAGAGAGTCGGTTAAGGAAGCGCCTTCGTCGAACGAGCCGGATGATCGAAGAACGGACGCGACCGTGATCGAAAGCACAATAGAGAGTCGGATACAAGAGGCGGCCCTTGGTATCGGTGGAGAAAGGCATGCGGAGGAAGGAAAGCCGGCTCAGATTGAGGAGGTCACGCCCGATCTCGATGGCGAGGTTCGAACGAAGGGAGGGAGCCGGCACGTGCGGTCTGCTGACCGGCAAGCGCCGGAAGTCGATAGGAGCACGGCGGAAGACAAAGTGCAAGAGCTGCTGCCTACTGTTCTCAAGCAGCTGAAAGAGATCTCGGATCACAGTAGGGGGGCCGGGGCGGTCGGTAAGAACGATTGAGGAAGGAGTCAGAAGGTCGGAAGCTTGCTCAGCGTCATCCACGGTTGCGTGTGACCTTCTCACCTCTGCATCTCATGAAAGCATCGCATGCCGTTACCAAACATGCACGCGGCAGCTGTGCTATGTTGGCTTTTGAGTACATAGGTTTTTATCAGCCTAGCCTTTCGTCGAGCAATGTATTGAAGACTTGCTAGGCTGCTTCACCTGTAACCCCTTTATTCGCTTGGCCTTTTGGCCTTCGCTGACTTGAACGAGATCGATCTCGGCGAGGTCAGCGGCGCGGCTGGCTTGGCGACCGTCTGGGCGTTCTTTTTGTTTATGCCCGATCACTTAAGCCTGTAACTCTGCCAGAGGCCGGTTTGTCACATGAACTAATATTAAAAGCGACGGCGGCTCGAAGATTATATGCATGCGGGGCGGCCCGGGATCATTGTGGCATGACCACGTCGTATAAAACATTGACTGATCATTTATGGCCGCGCCCGGCTGCGCACATGCATGCATGTGATCGGGTGTACCGTACATCCGGACACGCACAGGCTGAAACGCGCGAGCCCCCTGGTGGCGCCAATGATATCTCACGTACATGCCTACACGAATGATGGATCGATAGATCAAATATGGCCGGTGCACTGGCATTCAGTGTCCGGCCAGAACTGCATGATACGATGGCGCAATTGAATATGTTCATGACGTACACTCGAGAGCGGAAGAAGCCTTCTTCACTCAATTGAAGTGCAATCAGTGAATCACTTTTTCTTCGAAGAAACGTTTATGATCATAAACTTATTTCATAAACTTTATAAGAAGCAATTACGTTCTCTTTACGAACTTATAAGACTGAGCCTCTGTGAGTCAGGGCTTGGCGCAAGTGTTGCGAGTCAGATCGCGGCTCAGCTTAATTGGTTTAAGCTGAGCACATTATTTGGGAAGCTAGCACGTTCGCTCAGGCTTCCGAATGTACACTGCTAACTGATGACGGTCGATCTTCGATCAGCGACAAACCGTTTCTTAGTTGAATGTTTCGATCTATGATACTATAATTCTATAAATTATGGCAACTACAAGACCGCGTAAGGTTGAATCTCTTTTTACGATGCTTACATGCACGTCAGCTTTGACTTCTTAGAAAGCACCCTACATGGGGTCAACGTACTTACTTACGGACCGCGACTTGTTCCTTATGTACAACGGACATTAGGGCCGATTTGCAGTTTAGTCTCAATACGTATCCACCATTTCAATGGACCCTTCAAATGCTAATTTGTGGAAAGCAATTGACAGATTAGGTTTTTTGCACGGAACCAGTTTGTACACATGCCTGACCATGACGCTAGCTTAACTTCAAAAAAGGTAGGCCTTCACGCCTTTCGTCCTGTGTACTCCCAATCGTCCTGCTTAGCCGATGCCTTCGGTTGGATTCAACGGTCCGGTCGACCCAAGCCTGGAAACCAGAAGATGGAAACGCTTAATATAAAGTAAACGGAAGATCATGGTGGTTCCCGTATAAGCGTTGGCTCGAACCTTTTCAGGGGAGTCAAAAAGCACAGAAGCATTAGTGTTTGATATGTCACCGAGCACCTTTAGACCGACGACAGCCTGTGATACATGATTATTGAGGAGTGTCGCTCGTCTGCCTCGGTCTAAGAGTTCGCTATAATGTACAGAGAGTTTCAGTAAAAGTTCCGTCGTGATACATGAGAAGGATCAGAACGCATTCTGCTGTAGTGGCCTAATGCACGCCCCTTCGTCTGTCTCTCAAACCGGCCGAAATGTCCCATTTGATAAAACGGGAAAAGGTTTTGAAACGGAGGACTGGTTCTGGAGAAGCATAAGGTCAGAGCAAAAGCTTCGCGTTTTGACCAGAGGGTCCAGCAAGGTTTGAAAGCTCACTTTGTGCCGTTGGTAAATGGACGTCAGGGGCATTGGAGAAACGCCGAGCCCGAAGATCGAGTTGCTAACCAGCCAGGGAACCCACTTGTGGAGCGTGGACTGCAGTGGGTTTGTTAGCGGTTAACAGCGTCATCTTTTAAGGATGACCGGTTCTGTTTCTGGGCTCCTTTGATGGGTATAGAAGGCCAGCATTTGAAACGGCTGACCCTACTTGTGGGTTGAAGAGCGTCAGCGGCCTTTCAAAGCATGGCTGACGGCAGAATTATGTTGCTATTCATTATTACTATTGAATGATTAAATTGAACAAAGTTGCCCAAGCTCTTGACACCACACTCTTGACACCGATCGAAGGACGGCTTCGAAAGCGCCCGATCAAGCACGAACGCCAGACAAGTCTACTGGTGCCTCCGGTATAGAAGAATGAAATGTTCAGAAGCCTGAGAAGATCATCTGCGCCAGAGAAATAGCAATTCTAAGACAGCCAACAGCACGGAAAAGCAGCGCTACAACGCGCATGCTCTTCTGGAGATTCCATGTGACAAGCAACGTGAGGCAACAAATTGGGGAAAGCCAGTTGATTCGAGGATTAACCAGGGATCGTCATGTCCTATAACGATCATACTCCCCTACATGACAGCATGAAAAGAAACAAAGTAAGAAAGCTCATAATGCGCAGCCCACCTGCACTATGGTTCGTACGCTGCTCATAGCGTATAGGAAGTCGCTCGCCGCGTTTTGGGACTCGGAGAGGTCCACCAGGGCGTGGCCCTCAGGGACCCTTAGCGCGGAATAGCGCTCCAGCACGCCCGGTAGTTGCCCCGGTTCCTCCTGCAGAGAGCAGGATTCCGGTTCCGGTGGGCGGAACAACAAACGGAACGCTACCGGAACGAAGTTGAAGCAACTTAGGGCGTGGCCCTCAGGGACCCGTAGCGCGGGAGAAGCGCTCCAGCACGCCCGGTAGTTGCCCCGGTTCCTCCTGCAGAGAGCAGGATTCCGGTTCCGTTTGGCGAAACAAAAAAACGGAACGCTACCGGAACGAAGTTTGAGCAATTTAGGACGTGGCCCTCAGGAACCAGCGCGGAGAAGCGCTCCAGCACGACCGGTAGTTGCCCCGGTTCCTCCTGCAAAGAGCAGAGTTCCGGTTCTGTGAGCGGAAGGACGACGAACGGAAAGGAAGCATTAGAACTGCGGTTCCGTTGGGCGGAACAACAAACGGAACGCTACCGGAACGCAGTTGGAGCAGATGACGACGTGGCCCTCAGGGACCCTTAGCGCAGACCGGTGGTTGCCCCGGCTCTTCCTGCAGGCATTTAGAGTTGCGGTTCCGTTGAGCGGAAGGACAACGGAAAGACACCGGAGCAAATTAACGGAGCGCGGCTTTTGGAGACCCGTAGCGCAGAGAAGCGCTCCAGCTCACCAGGTAGATACCCCGGCTCCTCCTGCAAAGATCAGAAGTGCGGTTCTGGTGGGCTGAAAAGCGACGACCAGAATGCTACCGGAATGACAGGGGGGCAGCATTACAGAGCGCGGCTTTGTCCACGAGAGGCTGCCCAAGCGCGGCCGCGTCTTGCTTTCTTCGAAGGATGCGTAAATTGTTTACAACAAGCGATACGCAAGGCGCGTCGCTCTCCATGTGCGCGAGCAGCTGCGCGACTGCGGCCGGCGTGTCGAACAGCATCCCCTCAATTCAGAAGGTAGCGCGTTGCTCAGGTTTTCACAATGTCCACGAACGGGCGCGCTCGCGCGGCCGCGTCCGGCGTTCGTCCCTTCAAGCTGTCTTTAAAAGCGCAACAAAAGTGCGCCGCTGTAGTCCCACCAGTCCGCGAGCAGCCGCGCTCACGCGACCGCGTTCCGTGTTCAAAGGATTCCTGTCGTCTGGAAGTACGCAGCCGCGTCCTGCGTTCGTCCCTCAAGCGCTTTGTGAGAAGGAACTAGTAAAACGTGCGTCGCTTTGGTTTCCCTCATGCCCTTGTGCAGCATCCCTACGACAGGCGAAACAAAAGGGCGCCGCTCTAGTTCTCACCATGTCCACGAGCAGCTGCGCTCGTTCGGCTCCGTCCTGCGTCCTTCACTGTTCGCAAAGGATCGAAAGAAAAGGGCGTCGCTCTAGTTTTCACCATGTCCGCGAGCAGCTGCGCGAGCGCGGCCGCGTCCTGCATCCCGATGTTGCAGCCCTGCCCCAGGTTCGGCCCCGAGCAATGCGCCGCGTCGCCGATGAGAACTGCCTGGCCCCGGGGGTCGTGATACTGGCTGCACTTCAACTGCAGCGTTGGAACGATTGCGTCACTTGAGCCGTCATTTCCGAATCCTTCATTTCCTTCCGTTCCTCATTGACTCGTTAGCCGTTGGTCTGGGCTGTGTCACCTCTCGACAAGATATCGGGAAGTGGGCTGTTCACCTCTCGACACGAAATCAATTTTCGATAAAACCGAACCGTTCAAGGCTTGCGGGCGGAAGTGGGTTTAAAAACCTGAGACGCTGGAGGAATTGGTACTTTTCCGAGGCCGGAAGCTGCAAGGATTCGCGTTTCTGGATTGTGACATCATCCGCTGTCTTGCTGTTTACCAGCTTATCGAATGCTATTCAGCAACAGTCATAGCCCGCAAGAAAGCCCTGAAGCATCCTAGGATTGGTTCTCAATGACACTCCTCAAACGAATGGTTTACAGCCACCTCAAAGCCGCGCGCGGGTCGCTGCGCCTTGAGCCGCGCGGCCGCGTCTTCGGGAACCTCGAGCCACGGGAACGTCTCCTCCAGGAACCGTTTCGCGTCCCGGGGGGTCTGCTGGGCGTGCCATTCCGCCGGAAAGGTTCCGGTCGGCCACTTGAGGATGAACGACATGGATGAATGCTCCGGGTCCGGACTGCAGGCGATTCCGCTGATTAAGAATCTAAACTCGATCTTCGGATCACGTTGGCCGGAAAAAGGATCAAAATTCAGGATGAGAAAAGTTGAGGAAGAAGAAGCGAGGAAGGAGGCAAATTTGCCTCTGGTCGGAGGTTAGGAAGAATAGAAGACGAGAAGCACGAGAGAACAAACACACGAGATTCCGTAGCTCACAGACAAGGAGAAATTGAGGAGATTAGACAGGGTCCAGAGCTTCCCTACGACTCCTCGATTACTTCGCTTTGTTAGGATGAAGCTCCTTCCCGGCGGGGAGTGATCAAACCACTGGCGATTCAAAGCAACGGGTAGAATGTGAGGAGCACGTATAGAGGAGTTCGCTTCCGTTGGACAATCCCTGCAACTTAGAATAGCCCCCCTTGAACTTACCTCGTCCCTGACACCGCCAAGCGCAAAGTAACGAAGAAACGAAAAAGGAGACAAACAATACCTAACAACGCCAAGCGCAAAGTTATAATGAAATGACAAGGGAAATATACAACCAAAACAGTCTTCTCACATTGGGCTTGGCAGCATGATTCCGTGCAGGCCTTTCTTGCGGTATCCGATGACGATGACGACATCGTGACGTACTTTGGGCGGGACTGGAATGTTCGCCACGACCCAATCGGTTCCCAGGTCCTTCTGCTCGTACTCGAAGCTGGAAGGAACGGGACCTGTAGCTTAGGGGCCGCTCCGTGTCCGTCTTTCACACAACGTTTTCGTACTTGGGTTTCCCAACCTTATTCGCGGCTTCGTCATTTGGTTCGTTTGAGTAACCCTGTTCTTCTCCGGTTCGGCAAGCGTGCGTCAAACTAAGCCGAAAACGCGATTCATCGCCTTTGAAAGCCTAGAATTGGTGTGGACAGTCGGAAGCTTTGCCGCTTTTGGAAGAAGCGAAAGCGTGGAAAGACGTGCAAACCAATCAAGGCTAAGAATCCCAGAGAGATTGACACCGGGTCTGCTCGTGCATAGAGCCGAACCTGGCACCGCCCAAACAATCTGTATAGAAAAAGACGTGGCTCTCCAATCGGCATCCGGTTGACAGACTTCTCGTCGTTGACTAAATCCGCTGTGGACTCAATGTTAATGCCTCCTACCAGAGGGTCGCCCATAACCCAGCGTGGTTAAGGAAGTAACTAATTCAATCTGTGCGACTGTCGGCATTCGAACGATCGAAGAAAAGCGTTACCTCGGCAGGTGCTGCATGACGGCGCTTCTCACAACCGAGCGCGCCCCATCTGCGCCCACCAGCAAGTCTTACTCCTTCTCAATGTGAACCGGCTCCGCTCCCGCCGGTGCGGTGTGAATTGCATCCGCTCCCGCAGACGGTTCGCTTAAGTTCCGTTGATCCCGCTTTCCGTTCCGAGATCCGTTCCTTATTCTTCCTTCGTCTCCCGTTCCACTTCGCCTTCCGTTCCCCTTCGACAATCCGTTTGCATCTCCGTTCTCCGTCCCGTTCTGGCCGCCTTGATTTTTAACTCCCGTTCCGTTTGCCTTTCCGTTCCCCTTCGACTCTCCGCTTCGGTTTCCGGTTGCCGTTCCGTTTTGTCCGCTAAAGTGGCACCGGAAGTCGGGCGAGCCGGCGAAGCGCGCGCGGCGGCGCTCGAGGTCGACGCCGGTGCAGCGGTGTTCGAAATGGACGTCCAACAGGCCGGAGGCTCCATACCTGATTCCCCCAGAAAAGGGATAGGTTCCTAACGGCCCTTGTTAGAGCGCAGCAAACGATTTTGCCTCCTTTTGCTCTGCTTCAAGCATAAAGCTTCCTTGGCTGAGCGAAAGGGCAAGGGTGAAAGGACGAAAGTCCGGCACAAGGTTTAAGCAGAGCGCAGACGCCCTAAAGATTTGATTGCACAGCTAGATCCGCAACCACATAATCGATGATGGGACCATCTCTCAAGGCAGAACGGACTAGAACGAAAAGGCCGACACATTCAGAAGCTTCCGGCTCACCAGCGGTTTCAGATTCCAACCCTATCACCTTGCAAGAGAGGGTCTTGCAAAGAATGTCTATTTCTTCGGCAGCGCAATGTCGAGTTGCGTCCCAGCGCACCTTTCCAAGAGCAGCGTCAGCATTGCGGCGCACATCATGGCTCGGTCGTTCATGGTTGCGCGCACCTTCTGGTTGGGACGCAGGAGGTCGAACAGGTGTCCGAACAGGTAGATGCTGCGATGATCGATCTCGATCGCACATGCCTGTAGCCAAAATGACAGCTGTCAGGATCAGCATCTTGTTCTCCAGCACACGACAAACAGAGGTTGAAAAACATGCTATTCTGTCGGCCCATGGGTGGAGTAACGGGTTAGGTCTCTCAGTTGATCACTGTGAAACCGACTGAAAAACAGCAGCTGCTGTATGAAACAGCATGTAATGGCAGCACGTAATGACTCACACAGTGCCTTTCTGGAGCAACCCAAGCTGAATGAAAATACTCGAGAAAACTATCAGAGCTTATGCAGGTGACTGGCCATTCAGGACAAAGAGGATGCTTGTGCAGAACTTCGGTGAGTGGATCCCGTTGGCACAACCAGCAAAAATGCATAGTCTCAGATGTTCAAGTCCAGCCCAGTTCTTTGACCTTGACAAAGTGCAAGCTTGTAGTAATAGTTCCGCACCTTGACAGCTGCTCGTGAGCTCACTTTGTTTTGAGCAAGAAAAAAGTGGGACCTCCTCAACAGTGAAATGCGTCTTTGGCTCACTTTGACAGCTTCCCACAACCCAGGCACTCCTTGGAGGGCCAGCCCTTTGGCGGCAATGCCAATTCAGTACCTACAGCGAGGCCAGCTTTGAGTGGGTAAGTGAAAGCAATCTCGGACGTGCAGTAGGATTGGCCATTTATGTCCAACTAGTCAGCCAGCTGAGGAGAGGGGTTATGCAGATCAAGCAAGTCAAGGAGGCCTCTCGCTTTGCTCAAAGGGACGGGCACTTGGAGGTCCTCAGGGTACTCAAGAAACTTCATGGGTTCCATGCATCTGTTTCTCACCAGACAACAAACATGCGCTGCAAACCCAATGATCATCTGCGGAGCACCCTATGGAGCACGGTGCCACAGCTGTGTGATTAACATGTTAACATTCAAATCCCAACAATCATTGTGAAGATCAGCAGCATTGTCATTCCCAAGCTGCACCTTCCACAACCGATTAGGATAGCCTAAAACATCACTCCCGCACATCATATCTCTACACCCCAACAATGCCAAAACCCTAGAACCTCAAACCATACATTGCCCAGCCCACCTACGGTGTGTCGGTGGTCGCTGCGCCGTCTCCCGCGGGTCCTCTGCTCCATCAAACATTGAGATTCTGAATCGCCCATTTCCTTTGTCGAGTAGATAGTGGGCCAAAACAAGGCCTGCCGGTCCTGCCCCTACGATGACCACGCGCATGGGCTGATCCGGGCTTGGCAGGCGAGGCCCTGTTTCCTTGTCGCGCACCATATCTATTAAGCCCAATAGGGTGATGGTAACCCGCTTTAGCTGACACAAGAAAGCTTCTTCTCAACTAGACTCCAAAACAAGTTAAAGAATGCCTGTCCGGTCCCTTCGAAAAGGGCAATCCGAAAAGAAGACCTCAGGAAGTTTTCAGATATAAGTGGACCTAGAAAATGTCGAGCGTTTCTCTTGGCGAGGGTATGTAGGGGTGAGCAGATCTGAAGATGTGGTTTTGCAAGGCGTGTGCTTGCAATGAATTTACGCCGAACCTGCTCTGCCGATGTCCGATCAGCACCAATGCATCTGAAAAAGGATTATGAGGGGATTGCAAGGACAAGCAGAGCAGAACATTCAGAGACAGGGTGCTCTTTCTAAAAGCTTGCATCTCTATTGCCACTCAGCAGAGCAAATCTGTGTAATGGTCAGGCCAACAAGCACCCGTATGAGACTCCAATAAGACCGATTTGAGTAAAAATTGAAAGTTTCCCATATCTAGCTGACTGGTGGGCAGCTCAATGTGATCAGCTCAATGTACGTTACTCAAGAGGCAAGAAGGTTGATTTTGACCAGCTTCAAACTTCTGTGTCCGGTTAGGAACAGCTGCCGACATGCCCTGCATTCACTACCTAGCATAGTGTCTTGCTTGGACACATCGGTCAGCTTGAATCAAGATCTCCCTGCAAGGTAGAAGCATTCATGGCAGGGATATCTTTCCTATGTCCACTTGTGCCGCATTGCAGGAGTTTCTCACAGGAGAAAATAGAAGTAGAAGTTCGAGACTGAGAAACCACCTCCAGGACTTTCGCCGTCGGAGGGGTTTCCAAAGCGGTGCATGATCAGATCGTCGTGTATTATGCACATCAACTCATAAATTTAAAATTACTCTGCTCCGAGATCGAAGCGGATAGCACCAGCAAGCAGGTCAAAACTGTTGTGAAAACGACAACACTTCTTTCGACGCTTTCGATACAAACCCGCAAGCGGCGGTCGACGTTGAGCCTGGCCAGTTCTTCCCGGCTTGCTCAATGATGATGACAGCCGGATCTAACGACACAACTAACGTCAAGAATACGGAGTGCTCGGGGGACTGCTAGGTTGAGTTTGGTTAGATGGGGTTTTGGGCACATACTACCGGTACATACTACCCACTGGGGCAACGGACAAAGTTCCCGAAATAAATTTTGGTAGAGTTGGAGACGAACGATCGAGACCGTCGATCGACCAGAACGGTACCCACCGCCAGGAATTCGACCAGACGACCCGTACCAGTTGTCCGATACTGGTACGAGGACCGGACCTAGTACCACGACTTCAACCGGGCACTCGTACTAGCCTCACAACCCGTCCCTGGTAAATTTGGTAGTGTCGAGACTTTACGGTCGGACCGTCGGATGAGCAATCCGACGGCCGAATATGTCTTTTGATCGGCTGACACTGTGCACGCGAAAACCCTCCAATGTCACGAACCAACTTTTTAAGCAACCCAATACAACGCTTTCAAGATAACGGAGGCCGCAAACTCAAAAAGGTCACCATGCCGATTGCGCAAATGTCCACCAAATGTTGTGCTGATTAGTGCCAACATTAGCACGCATATAGACGAGGCTTCATTGCAATTTACAGCTTCTGAAAAGATGGAAAGACCTGAAAATAAGAGTAGGCTGCCTACAATGCTTAGCGACCCCTAGCTCTTAATCGTGAACATTCAAGACTGCCGTCGGCCGTGCTTCAAAATACGCAGTAAGGCGTCGCAAAATCACTCTTACAAATTTGACTCCGGCCAAGACTCGACCGGTGACGTCATCAGTTCCGACCGTACGACTCCAATTTTGTACGGCCCGTGGGCCGGCGACACTACCTCGACTCGATGACGATTGATTTGGACCAAAACTTTCGCCGGACGGGACTTGACACAATGCCAAACTGGCCGACCAAGTTCGTCCTAGATGTCTACCCCTCCAGTGAGGGCGGACTGGTCGTGCTTAGGGTCAAGTCACAAAGCACTGACAGTGTGTTAGGGTTACGCCCCTTCCCTGTGACGGTTTGTTAGGGCTACATTCCTTCCCTGTGACTGCTCTCCGATTAGGGTTCCCACTAACGGCAGAGCCATTGGTCTTAGGTTTTTAGTGTGCTTTGAGGCTACCCGACCAGGTCTGAGTGTCCAATCACGTCCGGACCGTTGAGTACCGCGTCCGATTCTACCAAAATCTATTCAGCAACTTTGTGCCTCTTGCCACGCTCGGTAGCCCTGCTGGGCTCTCTTGAAACATATTGGTTTAGGCCTTTTAACACTTTGGTTATGTTTGTATCCCCGGGCACCACTCTAGCTTTTTCAACATGCAAGGCGGCAAGCCCTTGGACCACAATCGAAGGTCGCCGGTCCACCGGCTCGGCTCCCCCGACCCCCCCGGCTGAGTTTGCTTGGCGCAGTTTAGAACAAGAAACCCTAACTAAAAGTTAACCCTGTCCGTCACATAAGAACTTCTAATCCTCTTCTCGAACTCATTGGTGTTATGCTTGATTTCAGGAGGATAGAGTTTTTCGCCTTCCATCTACATCGTTCACATAAACCCCAATGTCGAAAGCTCTAGGCTGTTATGCCGCCCAGGTCTCGGCCCCGGGTTCCAGTGCCGGGCCGGTTGTAGAATCAAGGTGCCGCGTCTGCTTCTTACGTGACACGTCACCGTCAGAAGTCTTGGGACCGAAACGCTCTGGTAACCAAAGAGTGACTTAACAGCGGGATGACTTCAGATAGGCACCCGGGAGACGGGTGGGGTTAGTATGATGGTTAGGGTGGGTTTGGGTGCGAAGCGGGTGATTATCTGGGTTAGGCTTTTCAGTTTGTTCGGTCGGGAATTGTGAATCTTAAGTCACTCACCCGTTAAGTCACCCCGGGGTTACCAGTATGGCTTCAAAGCCGCCGGCCCGTGACGACAGGCCGCCCGAATCGGGATTAATTCCTGTACGAAAGTGGGCTGCTCATTAATTGTTCTGGATCGGGTAGAACTGGCGCGGCAGTAAGCTAGGGCTAGCTACTGCGCCTATACCGTAGTCTCACAGTGCTATTA